GTGGTTGTTATAATAAGTTTAATATTAGTTAAATAATAATAATAATTATTATTACCAAGCTTTGTATATATGGATAATTCATAGCTGCCCAAGTGGCTGTATATCCACCAATACTCCATCCATAAAGTATTATTTTTTCTTCAGGAAACATTAATTGATGTTTTGCAAATTGCATTATACAATCAATAGCATTTTCCTCTTGTACTGGATATGGTTCACCCTTTGTGGTCAGTTTGATGTCTTACTGTTAGTCATATATGAATATAGGTTGGCCGAAGAAGAAGTCTTGCCATTACTACAACTATGTATAAAATATATTCTAATTTTAAGATATTTATCTTTACTTGTACAAAGGTTAAGAGCTAAAAAATTCTATTACATACAAATTTTACATTAACAATAACAAAGTAACATATGAGTAATAGCAATTCTTCCCAACGGAGTATGTTTATTATAATACTCATCTAGCTCACTCATTTGCAAGCAGACAACTTACAGTACTACTACCAAAACCTGGATGATTCCACCCTAAGACTGAATAACCTTTGTTCAATGGGGTTGATATAATACCAGTTTCATAAAACCCACAATTTCCTTCGCAAGTGATGACAAGTATGTCACCATTAGTGGTTCTATAAAAAATAATATTTATGGTATCACCATACCTTTATCTCTACTTTTGTATCTACAGAGAAAACAGATTTATATTACTTTTTCCTCTGATCAACAAACATTGTATCAATTTCATTTCGATCACAAGTTACCAATTTAAATCTTTCTCCTCCCTGTTTTATTAAATCTACTCTACCCTTCAATAACATTGGATCTATAATAAGAACATCTAATTATTTAAAAAACAAGCATTCAATATAAAAAGTTTTAACTTACGTAATGCCCAATTAATAATAGAGACACTGCCAGGATAAATTAATTTGACAGCAAAAGTGCATGCTATAATGCAAGACAAGGCTACCTTTATTCCATTATTGGATTTTATTTCTTCTAGTCTTAACTTTTTTCTGTTCTTTTCTCTAATAAAAAATATCATAATATATATGACATTAAAATCATTATTGTTAAAATCGCTTTTTAATAGATATACAGTTTGCTTTTTAAAATACATTACCCTTGTAAGGTAGTAACTACAAATTCTACAGGCCAAAGATGAAATTCAAAGTCATATTTGCATAACTCTTGTTTTGTTGTTACATTATAATTTGTATTACAATTTCTTAATGTTTTTAAGAATTTGGAATAGATTGCATTATTAGCTCTGGAGTAACCACGTGCTGCTAGCGAAGCAATTAAAATTATACCTGCACTGGCTGCAACTTTGCTTAAATTATATATTATATCCATTACAGAATAGCTATTCCGATACATAAATACAGCAGCAGATGTAAAGGCATAATAACTTATAGACCATACTGCAGTAAACTGAAAAATTAAGTTATAAATTTATATCAGTATTTAATGTATAAAGATCATGTATAATATATTTTAAACAAGAAAATATCATTATATATATTTTTGTACTAAATTACTTATACGTAACTACAAATTTCATAGCAACTGAATAATAAAAAATAAAGTAATGGTTTATATAAAATATAAATTAATTCTAATGTTAAAAACATTACTTTTTAAATTTATTACGGTTAGTATTTATATATAACTGAAGGCATAATATGAGAAAAAGTGTAATGTAAATTAATAACAACAACATAGATAGATTGAATTTTTATGATATTTGAATAACTTAATACGAATGAGCATATACAATTTGACAAGAATTATTATCATAAAATTCTTTATTAAAGTCTCACCGAAATTATTACCCAATCACTCCATCGTTCTAATACTTTTGGTTCGTATGATTTCTGCAAATTGAAATGATCATAACCTCCAAAAATGTACAAATAAATATAATCAAATAATATATTATAATTACATCAATAAGTCGTCCAGTTGTCGTAATTTCGTAAATTTTAAAAAGACGTGGCCCAAGAGTGTAGTAAAATAATATTTTCATTAACGACATATTTTATTTGCTTTTATAGTTATCACATAAACTTCGACAACTCACTCTTCGGAATTATAGTTAAAGAAACCAAGAGAAACTATCAAATCACATAGAACTGCTGTATAAGCACAGTACTCGATTATGCGTAGTAAAACAAAATAATATTATGACGTCTATAAAAGATTTAGTTAAATAATATCACTCCAATTTGTCATTATTTTTATACATTTATATTATTTTTTAATAGTTTCTTAATAACGAACAATAATATGATTATTTAATTTCATAAAAGATCTGCTTATCTACATATATATCGATACGATTAATCGAAAGAAAGGACGGTGTTCCTTCTAGTTCCTCTTAGTTCCTATTTATTCCGCATTAGTCACTGATGTTACATACAATTCGAGCCAAAGCCTATAAACCATAATAAATCAAAAGAAAATATGTCTTAACAAGTCTTTTTTTTTATATCGGTACGAGATTTTAATTATAAAATCATTAAAAATAATATATTTCTACAATTTTGTTAAAAATATCGTGTTAGAGCAAATATTAAGGGTTTGCTGAAAATTTTCTTTATTCATTTACATTTGTATTGTACATAATAACTAATCATGGGGGAAAAGAGACAAAATAGTTTATCTGTAAGTATATAAAAAATTGTAATTATTATAATTAACATATGTTAATTTATATATTATTGCTATCACGTTAATCCAACAGAAAGAAGAAATTGCAAAACAATTCATGCTGCCAGAAAGAAAAAGTAAAATAGCTACTTTATTAAAGCAAGATGGACAAGCATATTGTATATGTAGAAGTTCTGATAGCTCCCGTTTTATGATGTAAATTATTATAAAATTATAGAATGTTTATCAAATTTTGTATAATTTTTATAACTATAATTGTTGTAATTCGTTGCAGTGGTTGTGATGCATGTGAAGAATGGTATCATGGTGATTGTATAAATATAACTGAAAAAGATGCTAAACATATTAAACAGTTTTTCTGCATTGTAAGTCTTGATGAAGTTAAAGTATATTATTTATGATTCTTTTTATAACTAAAGTATATTTCTATAGCGTTGTAAGGAGGAAGATCCAACATTAATTACACGATACAAACCACGTAAGACCGATCAAGAAGATAGAAAACATAAAAAATATAAAGAAAAGGAACGTGCTCATAGATATGAATATGATGCACCTTGGGATCCAACATTAATTAAAAAATCATCTAAACGATGTGGAGAGTGTACAGGTTGTCTTCGTACAGAAAATTGTGGAAAATGTGATGCTTGTAGACATTTGAAAAAATTTGGTCCTTCTGTACGATTAAAACTTAGATGTATACAAAGAACTTGCAGAGTACTGGGCGATCCATTGAAACCATCAAAAAGTTTCACCAAAGGTTCAAAGTTCAATAAAAAGCGTAGAAGAGATTCAAGTAATGAAAGAATCGATTATTTAGAAGCACCGCGACATTGCTATGGTCCTGCTTGTACAAAACAATCACGTCCAGGTAGTAAATATTGTTCAGATGAATGTGGATTAAAACTTGCTACAAACAGAATTTATCAAGTATTACCGCAACGTATACAAGAATGGTCATTAACACCGTGTATTGCTGAACAGAATAACAGACGTGCTTTAGAATCAGTTAGAAAACAACAACATGATGTTAGAAGAATACTTCAAGAATTAGATAAAAGACATGCAGAATTAGACAGAATAATAGAACGTGCTAAACATGCATCTATAGATCCACAAACAGAGGTTGATGATAATGATGATACTGAAATGAGCATGTATTGTATCACTTGTGGACATGAGATACATTCGAGGACAGCTATTAAACATATGGAAAAATGTTTTAATAAGGTAATTTTTATGTAATATAAATAAATATGTTCTAAAATATCACTATTGTATATGTTATGATGTTTTACTAATATTGTTTAATTTATAGTATGAATCACAAGCATCATTTGGTTCCATTTTTAAAACACGTATCGAAGGACAAGTAATGTTTTGTGATTTTTATAATCCTGTAAATAGAACTTATTGTAAAAGATTACGCGTACTTTGTCCCGAACATTGTAAAGATCCAAAAATTAGTGAGACCGAAGTTTGCGGATGTCCATTGGTTACTAATGTATTTGATGCAACTGGTGAATTCTGCCGTGCACCAAAAAAGAGTTGTGTTAAACATTATGTCTGGGAAAAATTACGTCGTGCAGAAATAGATATGGAAAGAGTAAGACAATGGTTAAAAATTGATGAACTTGTTGAACAAGAAAGACAAATTAGATCAAATATGGCCACTAGAGCTGGAGTATTGGCTTTGATGTTACATTCTACTTACAATCACGAATTAATGGAACAAATGACTCAAGAACAAAGCAGAGAACAGCTGGAAGCAATGGAGGAAGAACTACAACGTAGATATAATTTACACCAACAAAAATCAATAGAACAAGAAGCATAGTTTCATTGTAACATATTATAAATATAAATTGTATGATAAACCTAACATTTAAGTCAGTTTTAATTGCGTAAATACTATTTTTCTCATAATATTGAATTCATAACAATTACAGAATTAGTAAACTTATCTAAAATTAGAAAATGCTTATAATATAATTCACTTTCACAAACATATTTATTTATATGTATATAACATATTATTGATAAAAATATGAATAATAATCTAAAAGTTCTGTCTTCCATTAGTATAACAACTTTACCAAAAACAATATATAAAAATCGTATGAAAATTGTAAAATGTTTATTAAAATTTACATATATACGTGAACATAGAATAAACTTTAATTCTTAATTTCTATTAATAAACTTTAATTCTTAGTTTATTAATTTAATAATTAATTCAAGTTATAAGTAATGAATATATAACAAATTCACTTTTTTATTTATCATAGTAACATTAATTTATATCTTCTGAATATTTCAATTATTTTGATAATTATGTTTTTTTTTTTTGTGATAAAAACAATGATATAGTTTAACTTGCAACTAAATTGCAAATTTCTTACTTAAATTAAAATCAATTCTATCTATTCAAAATAGGACCATCTGCATGAACATGTTTTAAGATATTTTTTCTTTTTAAAAAATTATTTGAAAGAGAAGATAAGAAATATATATATATATAATTTATAAATATTTACAAGCTATTTCTTGATAATACAAAATACGATGAAAAAGTATTTCCTACCAAAGATTGATCCATGACTAATCTCTATTCTCAGGACTGGCAGGTGTGAATGTTAATTGTGGTATCAACATCTGTTTATTTTTATTAATTTCACGCGATTTAAATACCTTTGCTGACGAAAACAAAAACACTTTTTTTAAGAGTTTGACAAAAAATTTACAAAAAATACATTTACTTGTAAATGAGGTCGAAATATTAATAAAATGATTACCTCGATTTTGTTGAATTTTCGGACCTTTCGTTGTTTTCTGTCTGCTAGTTACGCTCGTAGGAGAAATATTCGCATATTTAATTTGTTCTTTTGCTAATACTACATTATTACGAGGGGTAACAGTTCTAATCGATTTATTATTCGTCTTCATAGATAATTTAGGTGTACGTTTATTGTGTAATTTTATTCGAAACACTGTGATAGATTGACGTTGTTTCTTGCAAGATTTTTGCAAATTAATAGTTATTTTACTGGTGAATTTAGATTTGTTCTTCGTAGATTGATCAATATCTATGAAGTTTTATTATTTTTATTTATTTTTCAAATCTAATTATATATCGATTTTTAAAATCTTTTTAAATAAGTTATCATAATAAATATACATACCAATAGAATTATCACTGCTTAAAAAGATTTCCTTAGTATCCTCCTTCTGTAATAAGTTCTGTCAAATAAAATAATAATTTATTATATAAACGTCAAATATATATATATACTTAATGAAAATATGAAAAAACGTGAACAATGATGTACAACTTACTAATCCTTTATAAAACGTTTCTTTCTTTTTTACGTTGTTTTCTTTATTCGAAATATTAAAAAAATCCGTAGTTTTTTCCTCACTACTATCGAAATTCAAATTACTTGTAGAATTGATTATACTTTCTAGCATTGCGAATTTATTTTCAATATTAATTTCTTGATTTATCGGTAACTTAGTTTTCATTAAATTCATACAGTGCAAAGAATCATCGCATTCTTTTTCCTCATTTTCGTCTATATCAGGTAAAACCGAAGAACTTAAAAAATCTTTATTAACTTTAGCGTTATCTGTTGAATTATTCTTATCGTCTTGCAGCAACACAATATCATTATTTTTTATTCGTTCAGTAGATTTCCCTGAAAATTTCAATATTCTACTTAAATACATTCCCGTGTATTCAGTAACATTATAATCAGACGAAAAATTCACTGCTTCTTCCTCTATAGAGATTAACTTATTATCTATACATTTTACACGATCCAAGCAAGTTTCGTTAGAAAGATTTATTCGAGAATTTATTATCGAAGAATTATTTGTTTCGTTTTTCAATTCTATATTATCTTCTTTTTCTAACGTTAACGACGACTGTTCAGAATTGATTTTATTATCATTTGTATTTTGCAAATCTACTCGATCTTCATTAACGTTAGTCGCGCTAGGTTTTCCAAAAGCTTCATCCAACATCTGTTTTATTAAAACTCGTAATGGAACGTTTGTATTTGTATCTTTTATACAATTGGAATCTGTAAGATCAGTACTTCTTTCCTCCGTATTACATTTGATATTTTTTCTCCTGATATCTTCCCACAAGTATTTAGTGTTATCTAAATTGTCACTAAAATAAGGCTTACTCCTCTTTCGTTTTTGATTATTGCATATTAACTTTGTCTGAGAAGTTTCATATTTCTTGTTCAAAGATTCATATACTTTGTTAAATATATTCGGTGAGGAAAGGACTGAACAGTTAGAATTATTATTTATGCTTACTTCTAAAAAATCAAAAGAAAAAATATGTTATGCGTTACTTTCGTAAACATTAGAAATCATCAATTTTACTTATTAAAAGGATAAAGATAAATATTTCGAAAAATAAGTTTATACCCAGCCTGATACTCACTTTCTTCCTCCATTTTTTCTTTTTTATTTTTTCACGCGTATCACCTTAGTACGTTAAAAACAATATAAATTAAAAATATATAGTCAAAATTGATATAAATAAAAATACACTGAGAATTGAGAAAAATATTCGACAATTTGTTTCCAGAAATTCGTATGCGCCGTTGTTACGTACTCGTAAATCACTTTTAACTGGGAATCGTCCTTCATGACGACTCAAAATATTATCTTGTTTTCAATAATCGAAATAATTTTGAAACCATTATGAATAAAAGGCCGTACTAAAATATATTTAAAGATATATATATATATATATTTATTAATTATATATATTAAATATATATATATATATATATATATATATATATAAAAATTATTTTTCAAGATTTTAATAAAAATAAGATTTTATAGAAACGAAATATAATGATCCAAAGCTTTTTTTTTTTTTAACTAACTAAATAATTATGATAAATAATCCAGTCTCGATTAATTTATAATTAATCTTAACACATTGTTGATCAGCTATTATATGCAAAAAGTAATTTCACCAGCTATATTCCTAATTAAATTCAAATCTTTATTAAGATATTAAAAATTCAGAAAAATTGGTAATATTATCAAAATTAAGCAAACACTATCCGACATAATACTGTAATAAAAACTTACACAATTTTATACTTCAATAATTACATAAGTTGTATGCATGTGTAAAAACGATTATATTCGTGATCGGATTCAACAATGTGTTAACTAATGATAACATATATATTTGCGTGGTCTTAATGATAAAAAAAAAAATGACCGTTATACTCATTAATTGACAAATTTTTAGACAAAAATGAGCCGTCACTAATATATGACTGAAAAATGTAAGAAGTGTAATAAATCTGAAATGAAAAATATTTTAGATACGCTTTGTGTTTTTTTTCTTTTCTTTTTTTTTAATAGATAAAATTTGGTCACACGAATGAAATTTATCAAGGATTCTGCATCACCATTTGTACCATTTAGCCATTATTTCTCAGTACTTTTAGTATACGTTACGAGATATAAATGGAAAAAAGTATTTTATAGAAAAAAAACTAAAAAGAAAAAATATATATATATATATATAGCTATATCCTTTTTTATAAATTTCCTCACCATTTTAAGGGATGTTAAATGATTAAAAAAAATATATGTAACAAAATTTTGGAAATTAGTATAACGTAATATTAATTATAAAATATAATATAAAAGAATTCTAAGAAACGAAATCATCAATTCTTTAGTACTTTCTCATTTTTTTTTATGTATATATCTAATCTACTAAGAACTGTCAGATAGACGAATGTAAATTTAGATTAAATGAAATGGAGCATTAGTGGCGAAAAGACTGTACATGTACATGTGTATGTGTATAATACATATATATATATATATATATATATATATATATATATATGGCAGGAGATGAGAGTAAATGTCGTGTGGCATTTTCTTTATTCTTTTCGTTTGCTTGCGAATTGTATTTTTTGTTGTTTTTTCTTTTTTATTATTGTGTAATTATTAATATTATTCTATTAATATTATTATTAATATTATATTATTATTATTATTATTATTATTATTATTATTTTTGACGTATCCGTGAAATCACACGCATTCTCTGTTTTGACCTTTCTACAAGAACACTTACTCGCATAACTTAAAACTTTTCTTTTATAAATGGAAAATGCTTGAGTTCCCTTCCTTCGTATATTTCTGTTTTGTGTATATATGTATGTATGTATATATCTATGTATATTTGTATTTTTATGTGATAGTTTCCTGTTTCTTCGTACACAGATTATAAATTAAATGTCGAGTATGAGCACGACTTCTTTTTTTCTTTTCTTTCGTTTTTTTTTGTTTTTTTTTTTTTTTTACCATACAAGAGAATCAACTTCAATTATAGTTATAATAAACACGTATTTTAGTTTTTTTTTTTTTCATTTTTGCATGTATGATGGATGTATGTTTCTTCCTCTCCCTCCGTCTCTTTCTCTCTCCCTCTCTCTCTCTCTTTCTCTCTCTCACACTTTCTCACACACTCACACTCACTGTATAATCTTATCTTTTCGCATTAATAATATATGAATACGTACTAAATGTAAGTTCGTACGCACGCACGCACGCACGCACGCACGCACCCACCCACGCACGCACGTACGCACGCAACGAAAAGGAAACGAAACAACAACGATGTATTTATCACAGTACCGTACGCAAAGCTTATATGAAATCGCAGATAGAACAGCATAAAAGGCCAAATGGCGACGCTATATATATATATATATACATATATACATATATATATATATATATATATATATATATATATACATACACACACGCTTCGGTATACACATCCGAGGAGGACTTTCCTGTTCGTAGAAGAAGCATTGAACGTTGAGTTAAACACACACACTCTTCTCACTCACTTCACATTCTTCCTCTTTTCTTCTTTCATTTTTCTTTTATTTATTTATTTTTTTTGTATATTTATTTATTTATTTATTTATTTGTTTGCTATCGGTCTTTCTCGCGCACGAAAGACATACACTCGCGCAACGCTAGCTCTCTCTCTCTCTCTCTCTCTTTCTCTCTCTCTCTCGCTCTCCCTCTCTTTCATATTACGTTTATTTTTTAACTTTTTTTTCTTAACTTTTTACATATGTATTTCATGGCAATGACACTCTTTACATCCATGGTCCATGACAGTTTTGCATAAATTTGAATTGTTTTTTTATTATTTTTTTATTTTTCTATTTTAATATTAGTAACAAAATAGTAAGCGGTGTTTTTTATCGGTGTCCTCGCGCATGTCCGGAGAATATGTATTATAAATGAATATTATCTTTTTTTCTTTTCCGATCGTATATGCGATCTTAATTTTTTTTTTTTTTTTTTTTTTCATTTCTTTTCTTTCGACAATAGCACACTACATATATTCTGCTTTCTATAGAGAATAATAAAGTATCTACATATACATGCATATATATACGCATATATACATATACATAAAAGAAACATATACATATATACATATATATATGTTCGCGTCTTAAGACGACGAATCATCATCATAATCATCATCATCATCATCATCATCATCATCATCATCATCATCATCATCATCATCATAATCATCATCATTATCATCATCATTATCATCATTATCATCATCCGGACACGCATCACCACCTGCATACGTGTATAGCGTGTGTCAAGCAAAATTCCAAGATTTTTTCTTTTTTTTTTTTTAATCCTAAACGCGAGGAAAACAGGCCGATAAAAATGATAAAATAATTAATCATGGGGAACAGATATTACTTTTCTTTCTTTCTTTCGAATGAACGAACGAACGAAAAAAATCAAAACAAAATACTTTACGAAAGATAATATAATATAATATAATATAAATATAAAGTAATTAATATTCTCGACAAATTAATCAGTGTAATTGATTAATGAAATAATCAGTTGTATCCTCGCATTTGCTAGATTCTTACATTTGATAAAATAAGAAAAATGATTTATCTCGGACATATTGCTTTACAACGCATTTTATACCCACAAAAAGGGAACTTTGGCAACATACTAATTATTGGCAATAACATTCTTTCTCTCTCGCATATATATTTATAATTTTTTTTCTCAGCTGGGCAGCACAGCCTTTTTCCCCAATACGCTCTTTTGCACAAATTATTTGCTTGCTTGCTTTCTTTCTTTCTCGCACAATCACACTGCGTTAACTTGCTCTGTCTTTCATTCTCTTTCGTCATTTCTCTCATTCTTCGTCGTTCTTCGCTATTCCATATCAATCTAATTTATAATAATCGAGTAGTTTTCATAATGATAATAATAGCTATTAAATGTATATATATATACAATACAGAAAATCGCTCATCATGTCGAATAACAAATTGTACAGTGATACAAGGCTAACAATGAGATCGCGGGTCGGACCTTTCATCTCGATCGTAACCGAACTTCTCTCGATTTTTACTAATTCTTTTTACAGGATTGCGATATATGTATTCGCGCATATATCATCGTACAATCGAATTTAAATCCAATCCTTACGGACGAAGCATATCTTGGAAGGAACGTCTAATGAAGTACGATATGCATATACAAAGTTATAAAAAAAAAAAAAAGAAAAAAAAAAAAAGAAATAATAATAATAATAATAATAATAATAATAATAATAATAATAATAATAATAATAATAATAATAATAATAATAATAATAATAAAAGATGGGAAGGATTTTAAAGATGGATAATATTTATGAAGTTTCAAAATAATACCTTCGACGATAAATTTTGCACAATTGTGATGTATATAAAACGACGAAAGTTCCTTTAACACACTGTAATAATTAGTTAAAATAATAATGCGGGAACTTTTACTCCAGGTGCAAAATGATTGATTTTGTGTATGTGTGACAAATTGCTTAAAAAAAAAAAACAAAGAAAATCGTTTACTTTTAAAAGATCAATGGCATGAACAATAATTCGTAGGCCACATATTTCTGAATAAATGCGAGTAGCCTAAACGTATAAGAAAATAAAGCATTTGTACTTTTGCCTACACTGTTAAAGAATAGTGACAATAAAGAGAAATAGTTCGCTGCTTTTTGTGTTTACATAGATCTTTAATCATTAGTCAATATCTCTTAACAACGATCATTAGTTGTAGATTCGGAAACAAAGATATATATATGTGTGTATATATATATATATTTTTTTTTTCTGCCTACATGGCGACTTCTTTTATTTCTGCCTTTTTCGCACATTTAACGAAATTATTAAAATATGTGTATTCTGGATGTAATGTGTAGTTTAGCATAGCTGCCTCCCCACGCTAAATTATTTACATATTTTATGGTCCTATTTTTTTCTTGAAGTACATCTGCTTGTTTTCCTTAATGTAACTACTCTGTGTGAATCTTGTTATTTTTAGCCATTTGAACCGGTCAATGGCACGAGCTGATATTGTTATCTATTATTTTACTTTACTTTATTTTAAGGCGATGGAGCACCTGACTTGAACAGTTTTATGCATATTGGATTGAAGTTTGTCAAAGACAATATTATCCTCTCTAAACATAATATATTAAATTTACTTTACTCCTTGAAGTCTTGGGGATTTAAAATGATAAATTGATCGATTAAAATTATTAATAATAAGTATTAAAAATATAAATAAATGTTATGAATTTAGAATTAACATAATAGAATATATATATACATATATATATATATATATATATATATATATATATATATATATATATATATGTGTAGAATTTTAAAAGCATTTCGTGAAACAAATAAATGTGATACGTACAAGTCCAAGTAAAAATCAATGTAATACAAACGCGAAAATACTTTCTTTGCATTTTTATCATTTTTAAACAAAATGAAATATATATATATATTGGTCAAAATGATTTTGTGCGATATCTGCACAAAACGTGTTATACAGTAAGATTAATTGCTGCAATATTGTCTAAATTAAAAATCCTGTATTTGCGATTTTTTGAATATACATGTACAATTATAATTTTGCTGTTAGAGAAGATTATATTTTCTTTGTGCTAATTATCCAATATGCATTTATATTTCTCATACTAAATACTTAAACTCTCTTTGCTAGTTCAAAGCTGCACCCCCAGCTGGGCTATATTATCGAACAAACTAAAAAAGAATATCAACAAAGTTCATTTTTTTTTCTTTTCACTCTCATACATAATTTCGATATTACGAAAAAAACAATAACAAAAGTTATTAATCTTATATCTTAATAGTGATCGAATCTCATTAATACTAAATAGATGATTTTCATCATGCTTCCATATGAAACTTATCATTGGTAATACGTTATTTAGTTATTACCATTTATAATATTATCCACACAATCATCCATAAATTTTACATTCATTTAGAGAGATTGCTGTCACAAATAAACTACTATATAAATTGTTATTATTTAGATTATATGAAACTGATTATAAAGGATCACTAATTTTAAATTATTTTACATTATGGCAAATATTTATGATCACAAATGACCAACCATTGCAGTACAAGTACTATTGTCATAAAAAAAAGGAGAAAAAAAAAAAAAAAAGAATAGTAACTCGGAGCTTGAGCAAGAGAACTATAAATCCACACCTAACCGCAAGCTACGTATTATCATTTTATATAAATGCATTTATCATACGCAGCTTAATCACGTGGATTTATATGAAGAATATGTAACAAAAAAAAAAAAAAAAAAAAAGAAAACAAATTTGATATTAAGTAAAAAATATTATTTTTATATATATATGAAATCGGAGATTTATAAGAAAAATTAAAATAAAGCATCATTTTTTTTTAAATGAAAAAATTATATATCATGCTCATATATAATATACAAGAATATATATAAATGATAATTTTTTTGTAATATTTGGATCTTTTTAGGAACACATCTCTTACTTTTTCAAATGATTACTATTTTGACATAAAAAAAGTTAATATCTGAGAAAAACTACAAAATATGACATTCTAAATTTAATGCTTAATATTTCAGACTTATATATATATATAATTATAATCTTAATTAGAAACACACTCAAATTTTGGAATATACTGCACAATTTCTATAAAGTGCTTAAGTCAATTATTTTTCATATATAATTATCACACAATTGTGTACAGCAATCCCACTAATGAAATCTAAATACAATAAAATAAAAGATTACCTAGGTAAACTACATGCATTCACACCCTCAATTTTTATGATCACAAGCAAATATTACAATTATCATTACCGATAATTAATGATTAGTTATTTGTTACATAAGCGAGTCTGTGTGTAAAAATTTAGTGAGTTTCGACACATTCGCACTCTCAAAATATCACTGCATAGGATCAGTTCAATTTGGAGTGCAACATTTTCGAAAACTGATTTTTATGATACTTTCTTAAATTATCATGTGCCACAGCTGGAAGAAGTAACCACTTCACGGAGTATATATAACTCCATATCAAGTCAATCACACTGTTTTAATATGTTACACATATGTTTTAATGTCGCACTTATGTTTACTTTTCCTAATACACTTTACACAGTTTATAATTTCCTTTACTTTTCATGATGGTGTCTCAAATAAAGTATATGCTTCTAGCTTTTCACTATTTTCATTTTTTATTCTTAGTGCTTTGATGAAAATCCACTAATCACTTCAATTATCCCACATCCATGTACAAATAGGTCATTCCAGCTTGTAAGATATCAAGACATTGATAGATACTTGATAACAGTTCAATGGAGTATCTTGGTTAGACAGTTAATGCAACACATTATTTATAAATTAACCATAGTTTTTATATATGATGCACTAATCGGTAATTTTTAAAGGCATCAGCATTAAACAGTTTTTGCTGTAAAAGCATCTTAAACCTGCTTGATTGCAATATAATTTTGAATCGTCTTAAATCCATTAACATATTCTTATGCAATTCTTGAAGCCATATGCTTATTAGGTGGTGCCCCAAGGATACTTCTCTAGATCATATGCACGACCATAGTATATATATATATATATGTATATGGCTTAAATAATGCAAGAATTATCTTCTTTTCATGAGAGAGGAGCAACATACACTTCTTGTTATATTAATTCATTACTTCCAGTCGAAGATGGCATTATGTATGAATATTATGATTCATATGTTGCTATGTTTTTGCAAAAGGTTGTGTAAGCATAATTTATTTACACAGATGAAAAATGTATCCTTTGCAGTCTCCATTTTTTTCTTTTTTTTTTCTTTTTTTTTTTTTTTCTTTTTCTTTTTTTTTGGTAACTGACCTATTTACATTATTATCTCTTGAGGCACGCTGCGCCATTCGGCTTTCCTGGTATAACATTAATAATGAAATCCAGTTTCAGACAACAGTTGATTGGATTACCAAAATCCTGATCAGATTTTAGAAATATTTCTATCCATTACATCAACCTTTTCAAATATGTTTTCTGGTATTTAAGTTAAATAACTTTTCCGAATTTAATAATACGTAGATAATAGTTCACTCATATCAAACTGTATAGTATATTTTTATTTATATAATTGAGTCCATTTCACTGTCCACTGTAATATTGTATTCTGCCTGTTTCTGCTGTCTCTCTCATAACAGCATCCCACGCTACGATCATGAAAAATAAATCAAAGACAAAGCACATTTGAATACATTATAAAATCATAATGTAGATATAAAATGAAGTACAAAATAAAATCCATGTTTTTACTTACCTAATCCAACAAATGAGACAATTTTGTCGTGATTATAATTCTGTATATTCACATCTTCTTCAGGTGCTACATATAGCATCGAAAAATCTTCCTTTGGTTGATGATTGTATTTCTCTATGATACCAGGTGGTGGAGGTGGTGGAGGTGGTGAAAACATTGGTGGTGGAAACCTTGTTGGATATCCAATATATGTTAAAGATGGAACCATAACAGAATGTACAGGTTGTTGGGCCACGTGAGCGTTAGGCGATTGCATATGAAAATTTGGAGGAAATTTATCGTATCTCACATGTTTATCGTAGATAGCAGGAGGCCTGTCAAAATTCGGAGGTGGTTTATTAAGAAGTGGTTGAACCAAGGAAGGAAATGTAGGATTGGCAGGTGGAGTTTCCACAGATTCCTCGGAAAGTAAAAGTTGTTCATTGATCTCAAATCCAAAGGTTAACTCTGTCGGTAAATCACTACCTTTCATAAAATCTGATGTCTCGTCTAACAAGATAACTGCAGGTCTAGAAGAAGTATTATTCTTCTTTGTAGATCCTTGTGTTTCTATGGACTTTTGTGATTGTTCATTTTCCGTTGCAGTAGACATTAATGATTTTGTTTTTTTATTTTCATTATCATCTTGATTATCTTGCTTAGTTGTATTGTAAGATATCACGATTCCAGATTTTCCAGATTGCTCTTTCACATTTTTTATCATTTTATCCATTTTCATATGTGTTTTAACAGAGTCTACATCGGCATTTTGTGTTTCATGTGCCGACTTTGGATTATTCAATCCTTTAAGTTTTTGTGCCTCATTATCATCTATCGACCCTATTATGTTAACTTTGGTTTCACAATATACAACGGGACTATCTGCGTTATGTATTTTCTTAACATTTTCATCTTGATATCCAGTTTTCCTGTAGTGTAATTCTTCTTGTTGATTTTGAATATTTTGATTACTTTGCGAGTAACTTCTCCTAGTTCGAGGATTATTTACTTTTACATTCGTAACAACATCCTTATTATTATTAGTATAATTAGGATTGTTGTTTTCTGAGTCAAATGGATTACAACCTGGTGTATTATTTAATTTAGGTTGAATTACATTTGGTGTCTCATTTGAATGTGGATTGCAATTAATTAAATTCATATGTTTTGATTCTTGTTGCGTTAAACTTCGCTGCATTTTTTCTATATCCTGGACATACTTGAAAACTTGCATATTTTTGTTAATTGCCTCTTCCTGAGCTTCTGCCTTCTTTTGATCTGATGAATTCTTAATCTTAGATAAAGTTGGCGATGGTGGTTTTTCAAAAGTAAGACCAACATTATGCATATGATTTGAATGTGCAAAACCATGCTGTTTTGGCTTCCTATCAGAGTGTTGTAACTCATCCAAACTTGGATAATAATCTTGAGGTAATTTGTCAGGTTCCGAGGGAGTTTTAGGTGGAACTCTTGGCCAAGATGCCGTGTTTAACATGCTTGGGACCATTACTGGCATATTTAAAACAGAATTATGTGACATATTCATTGTGGCCATTCGAGCTATATCCGCATAACTTGCTTGTGGTGTTCCTCCGGAAGAGGTTGCTGTTTTTGATAAATTATGTTTCGAAGTATTCGATGTGACAGGTAATGAATGGACTGAGTCCAAGTCGCTACTATCCGATTTATCACTGTAAAAAGATATACAGCTTATATACTAATAATACAAGAATATAAAATATTTATTGTACTATACCTTGGCGGCATACTGCTTGCAGATTTTCTTCTGAGCTCTGGCGAAAGTGGTGCTCTATATTCGTTAGAAAATCCTCTTGTATTTTGTAAATATGACCCAGCTGTTGATAGGTTTTGTGCTCTACTACCACTGGAACTTCTACGTTGTTTTTTAGTCTTCTTCTTCTTAGTAACTATTAGAAAGTCAGGTTCTGTTTCTGGTTCTGGATTAATTTTCTTATTTGAATTTCGACGGCTAGTGTAATCGTCTCCAGTATCATTGCAATATATAGACTGACCCTCTTCCGTTCCCCAAGAACGTCTATCACCACGACAGTCTACTGCAGCATCACCAGTACTTCTTTGTTTTGCACGACGTAATGCCACATTTATTGTACCTTTTAATATTTTTTAACAAAAACATTTAAATATATAAATTCAAAAACACTGATAAAAATCATAAACTTAAACTTACTATGTTGACTGGAGATACTGCTAGTGCCGCTAGAACTAATGCTTTTTTCTGTAGTGAGGTCCTCGAGTTTTGTTTTTGATATTTCTTCCAAAGAATTGGATTTTTGTAACTTGGCCGTTAATTGTTCTCTTTTAGAATCCTTTTCTCTTGTTCTTGGTTTTGTTCCAGAACTAGATTTCACTCTAACAGGATTACCAGTTTTATTTTTTTTGCCTTTAGATTCTTTACTTTCTATAAAGTTAAGTAAACTATCAATATCATCCTCATTACGATGTCCTACAACGCTTTCGGCATTATAAACAATAACATTAGGTTCCTGGGTGTGTTTCTTTCCACGTTTCTTTCGTTCTGCATTATAACTTTGTACAGCATTACCATTTTCATCAAGAGATTTTTTTTCCCCAGAAATAGTCGAATCTTTCATTATGGCATACTGTGTTGTACATCTTGGAAGTTCTATAGAACATTACAATTGACATTTCACTCTTATTTTTGAACAATTAACACAAAAATCTTACCTATCGCATTATTTTGAATCTGCCAAGATGCTGGCATCATGGAACATAAACTTGAGATTCCTTTTCCTTGACTATTGTTAGTACTGTTTCCTGAACCACCAATAACACATTTCGCACTGTTATAAGTTTGAAACGGAAGAGCACCTGTCACCTCTGCACTAACTGATATTTTTGATTTATCCTGTTTACCGTTATGTTCACAGATCGGAAATTTGATCGTGGTATCTACAGGAGTTTGAGCTATATCAACAGTAGCACGTGCTATAAATTGTCTACGTGGTTCAATAATTTTCATTTCAATTCCCTCATCTTCTGTGTCTAATGAGTGAGGTCTTTGCTGTACCCCACTTATTGTAGATCCAACATTCCGTTCGCTAATAGCACCTACCTATAAGAGTAATTTGAACATATTATAATTAATTTTTAAATACTTTTTTTTTGTTAGAACTTCATATTTCTATTAATTTTTGAAATACATTTAGTAAATATCTTCTATTTATATATTTAAAGAATTTATCTACATCTTCTGCATTACCTCAACATAACTTAAATCAATAACTGTGTAATCTGACTTATACTCTGGTGGTGGATTATCTGACTCAAGCATTTCATTTGTCCCGTATTTTCCTTTACTACTTTTCTTCTCACGTAATTCACTTTCGGACTCATAAAATCCACTAACACTATCTCTCTTACTATCTTTTTTATCTTTTTCTTTCTCTTCCTTTTTTGATGAAACACTCGATGATTTATCTAAAGATTTTGACTTCTCCTTGTTAGTCCAATCATATGCTGTTCTTTCTTCAGAAAAGCCCTTCTTCATAAAACCACAAGACAAAGATGATGATTTTAGTTTATGTATGATTTCAGTTTATAATAATTAAAAATATATCTACATATATAAAATACAAATGTCGAGTAAAAATTTACTTTTATCAAAGGTTATTGATACACACCTTGTTGTCAAATATGAGATCAAGGTTAGCCAAAGAGGCAAGGCTGTGGGATGCATTAACATTAGACGGTAGTGATCCACCTTCTCTTTCTCTAGCGGAAACACTAGGACCTGTGTATTTCTTATTCTTTTTCTTGCCACTTCCGTAAGTGTGGCTAGAACCAGATGTTAGATACGCAAAACTACTATCAAACTCTGATGCAATAGGTTGTGCCAAATTCTGTAAAGAACCTCCGTGTGTGAGGCGTTCTGATACAGAATCTCGTTTATGCCTTCTGCGAGTAGATCCAGGGAGACAGCGTGAATTAGTCACTACCCTACGACCTTCTTCGGTCTCATCAGCTTCAGCTTCTTGTAAAAGTTCCTATAATCAATGGGTTTACTTTTCTAATACTGCCCTACTTTTCATAAATTTTTTTGGTCAAAGTATAAATGATATTGTTTTACTTTACATTACACTACATAAATAAACAATGTTTTTTAAATAAATAAATACACTGATAGAAGATGTTTAATATTGAATATTTTTAATACCTTGAATAGGTTGGATTTTCCTTCTCGATCTTTAGGACATTTATAAGTTATGGCTTCATCTAGTAGGGCACGCAATTCACCTTCATTCAAAGTAGAGAGAGTTGCTGGTTCTTCCTAGACATAAAAATAATAAATGATACTATTAATACATATATATTTACATATATATATATATATATATATATATATATATTACTATAAACCTATATCAACTAAGTATCATATCAATATTTAGAGTTAAACAAAAATATTAGAAGATCAACATATATTCAAAGAATAGTTAGACTTGAAAGAGTTGTGTCATTACAAAGTAAGAACTTGCATTACATAAGATATAAGAATTAACTAGCATGACTGTATTTCCTCATACATGTATAATTTCAGTTTTTCTACAAAATGATATACTATAACAATATATATTCTACAATTAAATTAGTGGTAGCACAATGTAGAATAGAACGTTCTAAGCATCCATATGTGGTAAGGAGAATGTACTTTGCAATTTCAGTTCAAATAAGGTAAGTATGTCAATTGGTTAACCAAAACTTTAAAATCATCTTTATTTGGAAAAGATTTTCGTAATACACATGGAAATTGATTTAAAGTCAATTAAAACAATGAATTTACTATGATTTTACCTTTAACTACATTTATATATATATATATGAGACTTTTGCACAATCATGTAACAAAAAAAAGTATTTTTTTATATTTCATAAATATATAAATAAGAAAGATGAACAGAAAAAAAAGTATCATCAAATGATAGGACGTATGAAAACAATTATTGCTTAAATAGTTATTATTCTTATTGTATTAAAACTGATACATTAATATATTAACCATAGGGAGAATCCTGGAATATATTTAAAATATATAATAATTTTATGTAATAAAATATGTATAAGATATATATTTTTAGAGATTATATCTATTAATTATACTACATCAACAATATTATTATTGAAAGATATTAGCCTTACTTTCTTATCATGTGATATATATAATATTAAAGATAATATTATCACAATAATCGCATAAGAAATTGAATAGAAAGTTTTTAGTATATGAATTTTCTAAAATAAATTTTATACAGATTAAACCAATCTAGATCAATCAAAATCATTTACATTGTATAGAATTAAATATATTATTTGATCTGTTATTATAAGAAACACAATTTTTTTTTAGACGTATTATTACAATTAATACTACATTCAAGTTTTACTTAAATTCAAACATTCAAATATTGAAAGATAAATATATATTAACCGGAGAAAAAATTTATATTATTATCCATTGTATGAAATTCACTTTTTGTAAATGAATACATCTCATATCGTTGTTGATAAATCTATAACCATAGTTCTTATAGTAATAAAAAACTCAAATACAGAAATAATAAATGATAAAATAATGATCCCTTTATGAAGTAAATTAGTTCCTTCATTAATAGCTAAATATATGACATGAAAAAAAAAATCATTAATTAAGAAACTTTAAGAAACGGTAATAAGCACAACGATGTCTTGTCTTTTCCTTATTGGGAGAAAAAAAAAACAATTAAAATTCGTTATACTCAATCTGTACCTTAATGCCAAGATTTCGCAAAGATAGAAAGAAGACGAATGGCAATAAGAAATTCTTCGGTTAGTTCCACCGAACGATAGAAGATCGCCGTTAATAATGATGCATCGTTGTCGAGTAGCCCTTGAAAAGAAGAAAGGATATCCAATAGCTGAATTTACCATTGGACAGAAATTAAAATAGGACACGCAACGAACGGGGATGGATTTGGGCTTGTCCAGAGATCAATAGACGTTCCACGATTAGCCCGATCGAGACACGAGATATCGGTGTGACTTACAAATGAAGGAAAATCTGCTCGGGGCAGTGCCGGCACGGAATTTATATTTTTAGAGGGCACCTGGGTCGGACCGCAATCGCCCCTCTGCTAAATTCAGTTACGGTTTTCACGACAGTCATGAAACTGTAAGGACAAATTTTTCAGGATAATCCAAGTCACAAACAACACACACACACAAACGAAGGCAATGATATGTCTTTGAGTAAAAACAATTAGAATGATAGTTCGCAAATATACTGCCGATTTAAGCGTTTAACGAGCGGGCGCGGCGCGCACTTCCCAGCATGGCCGCCGCCATTACACTGAAATCGTAACCGTCTCAGGGCCGTGACTAGCTTAATATTCTCCTAATATCCGCATTGCACTCTTTTCGTCTCTCTTTCTCTTTATACTTTTCACATATTCACAGTCATTATTTCTCATATAAAATCTTAAGTATATAAATATATCGCGAGTAATTGGAAAAAAAAAATTAATAAATGAAAATAAATTACCCTTTTTAATATATTCCACAAATCTTACTAGCAATTATAGAATCAAAAGACGTGACAAATATTGTCTACTTCACAATTCTTATCGTATGTGGTTTAGAAATTATATTTTTCTGAGATTATTTCGTTAATTCATCTATTGATAACAATAATATAAAATACAACAAAATAAAATATCCGATTATGGGCATATATATATGTATATATATGTATATATGTATCAGATATATCTTTGCTCTCTATATTTATGATAACGAGCGAAGCATGAAATTAATACGTGAATTTGAAATCAAATTGTTATAAAGCTCTTTACGTAGCTTAGACTCAGTACCGTATCAATAAAAAATGTTGCCACGAGTTGATAATATGTACGAAACATTAATTTTCGTTAGCGAAAATATTGCCACATAGTATTAACCTTACCATGATATTTTTGTGTATGCCATGTTCTCTTTTGTTATTTATGTCCAATCTATGTATGTAGTAAAGATATATTGCGCATTATCAGCGAAAAGTAACTAGCGCCTGATTGCTAGGAACAAAAAAAAAAAAAAAAAAAAAAAAAAAAAGAAAGAAAGAAAGAAAAAAACAAAACACACACACACAAAACAAAAAACTAAAAGAAAAAGGAAATAAAAAAAGGCAACTACCGATTTGTGGACTCTTTCGACTGCATTACGTCACGTATGCTTCATTGGTTCTGAATATGATAATTGATTTTATATCATGACGTGTTTAAAATTATCTGAATATGTACACAGCAACGAAAAAAAATGTTCGAATCAAGAATGGTTTTTGTAACATATAAGACTTCAACTTAATCTATACAGATAGAGAACACTTCATCATATTGCGATTGTAACATTGTCATTTTGTAAGGTTAATCGAATGTAATAAAACTATATTTTCATGAAATAAATTTGTAGGATCTATAAAAAAATTCTTTTAATTTTATACGAATAAATAATATTCATTAATGCATAAAGAGAATCATAAAAACACAGTCATCAAATTTCGTAATATACCTGTCGTCGAAGATACAAAACCAAAATATTTCGATTATTTAAACTCTTTATATATATATATATATATATATATATATATATATACATTTATTTATATAATTGATTTAATATTTATCAGTAGATAACGTGATGATCATAAATTGATGCATTAAGGTAAACTACCGTCGTATTTTGTAACTTTCTTTCTGAAAGAGGTTTAAACCATGTATATGTTGCACCATAATACAAAATAATCCTGATAACAAGCTCACAATTGCGAGTTCTTTATACACCTAACAAAAAGAAAGAAACAAAAAAAAAAAAAAAAAAAAAAAAAAAAGCAAAAAGAATAATAAAAAATGTCAAAAGTCGAAGAATAATACGTCGATAACGACGACGAGCAGAGAGAGAGATTCGCTGCTCACCTGTTTGTTGTCAGAGCCGCTGTTAGGTGTTGTACCTTGACTGTTCGTAGGCTCAGAGATCGTTTCAATACGCGTGCCAGTCGTTTCGAGATTAATATTCTGAACTACCAAGGCCTCTGTTATGCCAAGTATAGTACTTTCGTTAGCCGAATCGTTGCCGATTTCTGTTCGACTGTTTTCGGTGTTGCTTTTGTCAGGTGCAACCGGTTCCTGACGATGGTCCGGCCCTGGGGACATCTTGACGTTGATTGACAGGACCGTGTCCGCCGTGCTTATAGCCTTCTTCTTGTCATTCTTCGGCCGATGTCTTTTGGAACGCGTTAGGCGTTAAAGAAATAGCAAGAGGAACATCAATAAAGACTCTAATAAAGTATTTCAATAAAGTATCGCTCACAATAATCGTTTAAAACGATTCTTCATATATATTATTTTTGTCGTTGTATATTTTCAAAGTGTGACAGTGACAATGAAACGAGCATGAACATTTTCACGTTATAAGATTGACTGTTTTATTCGATGAACGTCGAGACACGTAGTTCTTTCATGATTGACTTACGAACGCGCGGTTTCGGAACAGTTCGTTCCCTGATTCGTCGACGACGGTACAATTGGACGTACCGAAAGTGGAAGGAGAAAAAGGAGAGCCTCAAATGTTTTTCACGCGCGTACTGCACGCGCACCGGGAACGACAAAAATGGCACCATCCATTCGTCAAGCGTGTTTCCAACTCGTATACTTTCCTTTACACTTGACCCTTTCTTTCAAAACTTCACTTTTTTCGTCGTTCACATTAAGGGCATATCTTCGAGATTAATCTAAACTGCATTTATATCTAACGTATCTTTCTATCACTTTCAATGTGATCGAATGATTTTCACTCTCTTTTCATCGTTTATTGTGTCAAAACTAAACTGTTCATTTTTTTTTCAACGAGAGAATATTCATCATACTAATTTCGCGTCTAACGTACGAAACTGGACGCGTGACAAGATGGTATTTTTGAGTCTCCTTCTCTGTGGATTCTTTCCAATGTCTTTCTTTATCTCCACTTTCCTTTTTTCACGAGAACCGCTCGACCTCCTTCCGTTCACTTGGAAAATACGACGACGACGTAAAATTGATATTCGCGGGCGTTCGATGCGACACTTGGTAAATCCAAGATGGCCGTCGTTAGGACAGCGGCACGTACGCGTCAACCGGCTACGACTTATTCGAATGCAGACGCACAGTGACCAAGTCCTCTCCTCAAAAAGGTTTCTACTCGTGAAAATGAGTACATAGCATGGGTGGACGGAGTACGAGGACGGGAGACCGGATCCGTTCTCGTGCGTGACCCGTTGACGGCATCACTCTGTTTCGTTCCGTCTCTCGGCCTCGAACCAGCCGCTTTCTCCCTTACTCCCTCTATCTCATAGTCTAGATATCTTTTTCTCTCTCTTCTTCGCACGGAGCAGTGTCGTAGCACGCACTCGTCATCTCTCTCTCTCTCTCTCTCTCTCTCTTCCTCCCTTCCTCTTTCTCTCTCTTTTTCTCTTCCCTTATTTCTAGCTCGACACCTTATATGACACACAAAGAGGGATTCGATGTGCCTTCAAGGCAACTCTGATCACGCTCGCTGACACTTTGAAATCATCGACGACAACTTATCGATCGTACCAATGTTCACCTGTGTCAATTGTCCGTTACACGTTCGTACCACACTCTTCTCGGCGCGATCGTAGTAGAATATTCTGTCTATAGAGATAGAGAACAAGAGCGAGCGAGAGAGAAAGACAGAGAGAGAGAGAGAGAGGGAGAGAAGAGAAAACGGAGAGAGAGAGAGAGAGAGAGAATATATATGGAGGGGAGATCGTAAAGAGGTAAGGATATGGAAGTTACCTCGTTATGTCTTCGTTTGTACAGCTCGATCATGTATACCAATCACTGAGGAAACTCGCTTAATGATCGATGCTCATTGATCGTATGTCTAACAAATCGCGCATCAAACTTCACTCGCGCATGTAAGTCAAAATATTAAAATCGTGTATGTTCGTAATGTTCGGTTAAACTCGGCGGCAAAGCGTCGTTTGTCTTTTGCCGTTTTCAGTTTTCTCTCTCACTCTTTCTCTCTCTCTCTCTCTCTCTCTTTCTCTCTCTCTCTCTCTCTCTGTCTCTTTCTCTCTCTCTCTCTCTCTCTCTCTCTCTTTCTCGCTACATCTCTTTCTTTCTTTCTCTGTCTCTCTCTCTTTTTCTCCACTCTTCTTTGATGAGCGACAAGAAAATGTCGATTGCACTAAGAAAAGAGAAAGATCATTTAAAGACGAAGAGTATGTGTCTCTCACAACGATTAACAATGTTTTCACGATGTAATAAACACGATAATTACAATTTGCGCGAAGAAACACAAGCGATCAGACGCCGTTTGGCCTCCGAAAATGTCGTCTGGTTTCAGGACCGTAACCGTCCATCGTGGCGCCTCGTAGCAAATGTTTCATTACATTGCACCATCACCTATCATACATATTTTTTTAAATCATATTCTTTTTTCTCTTATTTTCCTCTTTTTCTTCTAATTTTCTTTCTTGGTTCTCTTTGTTGCCAATTTAATTTTGTACGTCAAAGTTGAAACACATTTATGTGTAATATTGAAAGAATTTTCTTCTTTAACTGTACGAACATTACATTAACATTTCTATAAAGCAAAGACTTCTCACATACTTATTTTTATGAAATTTACAATTTTTGTAGAAAACTTCATTGATTAAGAAAACGTTTTCTTTTCTATAGAGATCTATATGAACGATTTTCTTAGTTTAAAAGTTTATGTGACGATCCTGCCTCGTAGAAATTTTACGTGCGTCACAAAAGTCGATAATACTCGAACTCGAAGAAGGAAATGATATGCTTCGATTCTATCGATTCATTGACGTTATTTGCTAAAAATTAGGATTAAACGGCGGAGAACTGCTATTAAAGACGGTGAGGTACGCTTATCGAGTGAAATTGTGAGTGTTGCGATGATAAGTGATATTAGATAAAATAAACATTACAGGATATTTTTCAAATATTTTGTTTTTGTTTCAGATAAAGATTTTTCATTGACATTATTTTTTCCAAATATAAATCAAAGAGGTAAAAATGACAGAAGCCGAGAATATTTTCTTGTTCGTTCCTAATATTATAGGTAAATAAAAATGTTGCAAACGAAATATAAAACTGTTAATAACATTCGAGTGATACTAATGCGAACATGGCATCTATCATAGTTAATGTACAGATCTAACATAGCTAATGTAAGAAAAAACTTAGGCATTTACGAATTGATTGATAAAAAATTAAAGTGACTATTAAAAATAAAAAATACTCGAAGCTGCTGGTGATTTTAATTGATTTAGTATTTAAATATTAGCTAAGCTTTTGCAATGAAATTTTTCTTTTAATTTAAATTTTAGTTGTAAACTATTGAATATTGTTATATCGTACGACAAATCTATTATTACAGAAGTTAGCACTCATATGACTTCTTATATATTGATTAATATTAGCATATTATTATTCTATATAACGCTCGAGTGTAATATTTTCTCTTGATCTAATATTATTTTTATATTGTTAAAGAATACTTTTTGTTAATAGGTTACGGAAGAGTGATCTTGGCTCTGATTTCTTTTTATTTTATGCCAAGTAACTATGTCATTGCATCTTCATGTTATATTATTAGTGCTTTATTGGATGCAGTGGATGGCCATGCGGCCAGATACTTCAATCAAAGCACAAGATTTGGTGCTATCTTAGATCAATTAACCGATAGAGTTGGTACCATGTGTCTTTTGGCAACATTATGTATGTTTTATCCTTCTTATAGTTTTTGGTTTCAATTAAGCATGGGTATTGATATTGCTTGTCACTGGATTTATCTTCACACGTAAGAATTATCAATTTACTAGTTAATATTTTTAAGGATTATATCAAGATAAACATGTATTTTGCAATACCTTAAAAGATATATATATGTAGAATTTTATTAATTAGCAACAATTACTATATAATAATATATTTATAGAACACTGCTACAAGGGAAAACAAGTCACAAATTTATTGACATGTCCGAAAATCCAATCATGCGGGTATACTATACCAACCGTATGGTTCTATTTTTCATGTGCGCTGGAAATGAAATGTTCTATGCTACCTTATATGTTCTTTACTTCACCGAAGGACCCATTTGTAAGTAACATTTTTATACAGATAACTATATATAATAGCATTGAGTACTACTTTGAATTATAATCACATGTTATAATGGAAAGTTAAATGTTTATATAAAATATTACAGTGGCTGGTGTAGGATTGTATAGGATACTGATGTATCTCTCAGCTCCAGTTGCAATAGTCAAGTCTGCAATCTCAATTTTGCATGGATATGTATCTTGTATCAACATGAGTATAATTGATCAGAAGGAACGTCAGGAACATCTTAAAGCAAACTAAAATGTTTTGCTTACATATATTACCTACTAGTCATACTAAATGTGATCAACTGATCTTCCTTGATTATAAAATAACATATATTTAAAGAATGCATTTTCAATCTGCTATTCTTATAAATCAAACCAACCTGATGTGCCACAGTACATTATTTTTATCTTGGTTTTTAATATAAATTATATTTTAACTAGTATATCTCATTGAAAGTAAAATAAAATTGTTTATTTTTCATATTATAAATAAAAAACACACTAATGTACTCATATAAAAATTTCTCTCGCACTAACAACCTATTTTCTTGACATTAATTAATATTACTGTTAAAAGTAATATTACTATTTATTCAGAGGTTAAAGAAGATATAACCTAAAAAAGTTTTTAAGAAATATATTTTTGCCTACTATAGAAGTAAAACATACAGATATTGTCTATTTTCCTAATGATGTATGTAAAATAATTTGACCTGATACCCGAGGAATATAATTGGTAAAATAAAATATACCGATATACAAAACATTACGTAGCGATGTAATACTATTATATACATATTTTAAATTTAACTACAAATACAGAGAAACACAAAGACTAAACTGAACGATAAACATTTGTTAAGATTAATTTGTGAAATTCAATGTGCTTTCATTTTTACTACCATACAAAAAAATTAACAAAAATTACAAGAATACATGTTATAATTTTACATGAGGACTATGTATAATGAATATAAATATTTTGTATAAATTATTTAGATTGAAGAATGATCATACATTTTTCACACAGCAACGATATTTCAGCTGTGTTATAACAAAGAGATAAACTAACCTCAAAACTCTCGCTTTCATTCTCCGTCATGACCAGTCATGTTTGGGCGCCATGTTCTTTTACTTCAAACACTCGCGCATGTTGGTAAAGTTAACAAAATTGGCACAAGTTTTTTAGTAAGAATAATACTTAACACAATGAAATTTTAGATATATTCACTAAATGTCATACGAAATGGGGAATCCTTTAGCATGGAGGATATTTTTTCACTATGATTGAGATATCTGAAGTAATGTACAATATTTATAAAAACAAGTGAAAATTCTGCGTACCCGTGACAAGATAAATTGCTATAGAGTAGCGCCAGTGTCGCTAGTTGGTCACTATCTAAAATGGCGGGTATTTTTCTTATTTGAATTTATTTTTTTAAATTACTTGGCGAAAATACATTTTTTAAAGAAACTATTAAACTTGAATACAATGGATATTTAAATAATAAAAATACAATTAAGGGTACATTTTCATGTAGACACATGATGTTTTTATGGATTAAAAAAAAAAGAACAATTATACGCACTTAACATTTTGGTATTTATTAATACATATTTTAACATTTTGATTGTAAGTCATATCATAGAAAATGTAATTACAAATAGAATACATAAAGAACTTTTGAAATCAATCAAATAGTTTTGCTAACAATAAATCATGTATGCCGTTTGAAAAAATGTATTTCGAGAAAAACGCATTTAAATTAAAATTATTATGACTGTAGAATTTTAACCTTCACGAATATCCTTTTTAAATTTTTCTAATATACTTTCACAATGTTATACAATCAAAATATGTTAAAAAAAGCGATTTTTTGAAAATTTCGCAGGAAAATTTACTCTTAACTTAAACTTACTACAAATTTCTTAGTTAAATGAATATATCTTGTAAGTGATAGTTTCTTATAAACACATCTTATTAACACATCTTATACACAAATACATATAATCAAACAAACTACTTTTTACATCATTCATGTAAGAATCTTTTCTATTATTAAATTGAAGGTTGCTTAGTAAAAGTAATAATAATAATGAATTTGTGCTTCAAAACCTACAACTTAAAATAACAGATTTTTTATATCTTAGATCAGTAACAAAGAGAGTTGTCATGTTATATAGACAATAATAATAAAATGTAATATATTAATATCGTAAAGCAATAATATTATCTTCTTTAAAATTTAAATCTGCTCTTGAGGGATATACAAGTTTTAGATTACCTTCTATGTCAACTACTTTAACTTGCTCTATTTGTAAACTATAGTATAAATTATTTTCATTATCTGAAGGTGCACAACCAATGCCTGTGGTAACTAATTCTTTTAAAAGTTCATCCAGTACATTTCTGTAATGATTGTTTAATATTTAATATCGATTTATAGAGAATTTTGCATTTATATATAATTCTTCTTTACCTGCAAGCTTGATATGATATAGCACTTGTTACTTCTATTAACATATCTTTTGTAGTTGGTGACATCTTTGTTAAATCACTATTAGTAATTGGTGGAAAAGATATAACTTGTTCTTGATTGTCTACAAGACACGGAAAAAGTGCTTTACCTTCAAGTAAATACAAATATTTATGTATACTAGAATATACACTTCTCTTTTTTTCTTTACGCAAATTATCAGCCTCTTTTTGTAATTGCTGGAATAATTCTGTTCCAGTGTAAGTTTTATTTCTCATTAATGGTTTAATTTCTAATTCCAAAGGTGGCTTTGCTGTATATGTTAAATCACCTAAATTATACATTACACATTAATACATTAAAACATATAATGTTTAAGCAGTACTATAAAATCAAACTATCGTTTACCTGGTACAATTGCATTTAAATCATGAGTGGCTATTGTAGCAATATTTCTTTTTCCACATTTTCCATCATGTAATTTTGTTTGTAATTGTATAAATTTTTTAAATGTGTCCTCTGTGAACACTAAATTTTTTACAATACATGCTATTATGTAAGGTCTAACATTTTTTACATGTTCTGTGAATTTTATTGATAAAGTACTATCTGATGTTCTCAATATTTTTAATTTATGCGCCAAAGCATCTATCTGTGCTGTAGTATTTTCATTTTCAGACAATTTATGTCCTTTTTTCCCTTTTTTTGATTTACTTGTAATGTCAACAGCAGTAGGATTTTGTTTCGGACAATGTTGCTTTATATATTCAAGTACTTGCTTTGAATGACACTGATAAACTAATTTTAATAATCTTTTATCTGCCAGATAATTGTTTTTTAGATTCAATTCTTTCAATTTATGACAATCTGCTAGTTCACCAGGAACAGCTGTAAATCCAATAAATATATATATATATAGTAGGTTGTATTAATATTTACTCATGATAATTTTGATGCATAGTACCTGTAAGCAGATTATCAGCTATGTTTAAAACTCTTAAAACTTGCAAACGAGATATTTGCTCAGGAATATCTTTTATCTGATTCATATTTACATAGATTTCACAAAGATGAATCAATTCGGTATAACATACATCAGGAAACACTTGTAGATTATTATTAGACAAATCTAAGGTAGTCAATTTAAGATTTTTTATTTGACATGGTATCGATTGTAATAAATTTGTGCCAAAGTTAAGGCTGCTCAATTGAGGAAAATTTCCAATCGCATCTGGTAGAGAAGTCAGTTTATTTTGCGAACAATGAAGAAATTTCAATTTGGTTAATTTTTCAATTGACGCAGGAAGTTTATCAATCTTATTAGAATATAATATCAATGCAGTAAGATTTTGTAACTTTTCAATTTCTTCAGGTATTTCTTGAAGACATGTATTGTTTATGTTTAAATAATTTAAGTTCTCAAGATCAAAAAGCGTCTTATCTAGACCATTTTCAGCGATCAATTGAGAAATCGATTGACCTGTTAGAACTAATTGATGTTTATTCTTATCAGCGGTTTGTTTAATAATATCCCACGATTTTTCAAAAGCCATTATTATCAGTTTCACTGCAACTATATTATTGACAATAAAATAATACTCTGGATGCCGATTTAAGGTTATGTGTAATAGATAAAAACAACAATTTTTTATTTTCTAATCATTTGTATACATATATTCACTACTTACTAAAGTTTCTTTTTTTCCAATTGTCAAATTAGTCTTTTGATGTATTAATGTAAAGATATCAATACGCGAGAGATATTCAAAGACGCCAGAGATAAACAGTCTCAAACTGCAATAGAATATGACGCAATGTGTGTATTATTTTTAAGTTTCGTCTAAATTTTCTTCTTTAATAATCTTTGAACCGGATTACGTAGATATAATTATTTTAAATATAATTAAAACAAGTGAAATGTTATTGTAATGTTTACGTAAAGTAGATTTGTAATGTCAAATTTTGCCGTCACGTTAACGGACTTCCGCTGTAATTGCCTTACTTAAATTAAACCTTGTGAATTATATATATATATGTATATATCTGAAAAGATTAATTTTCTCTTATCGATCTTCATATTTTACACGTTTCTACTAAAGATTATGTTATCAATAATTTCAAGAAAATACAAACAATTTTTTATGTATTTTTTATATATTTATAGTCATTGGCGATAATAGACAGTATCTTTTATTTCAAATAAATCCATTAGTTAAGTATATTTACTGTATAATCACGATTGACCTCGAATATAACTTGCTCTAATCTTATGATTTTAGGACACCCTATGAGAAAAGGAAATCATCGTTGGAACATATCAGTTAGGTTAATGAACTATTCGAATCAAGAGAACACATGAAGTTTTTAATTTATCAGGTAAACTATATCTATTGCGTTCAATTAGACACTCCAATTAGCGTTTATGGTGATGTTACGGAAGTTCTGACCTACATGCTAATACAATAGAAAACACGATAATAATTTTCGTATACGAAGAGAAGATTATCTGTCTATGAGAAATAGTAAAGTAAGGAACTTATATAGGCTATAACATATTGCGAGTATTAGATAGATTTCGTAAACCGGTCTCTTTTTTTCTTTTTTTTTTCGTTGATAAGACAAATGAACAGTTTGATAAAAATGTCGTTGTTTGTATATGTTTATCTTTTTTCTTTTTTATTCTTTTTATTTCTTTTTTATCATTAATCATTATTATTACTATTATTATTATTATTTTTTTTTTTTTTTCATTAAAAGATGAAACGTGCCTTCTGGTGAAAGCTTATCGTAGGTTTATTGAATTCAGGATTATATGAAGACGGAAGTTTCGGGGGATTTTTCAAGGATCTGGTTTGTAAAGTTTATTCTTGGAACTCTTAAGAATCACAGTCGAGCAAGCCTCGAAGAAATAATCTTAATAACCTTGTAACGTGTTGCCAACGATACTTAGAATTTGACAAGGCTCTTTCGAAGTATCGATGACAAATGTTTGTTCATTGATATTTGCATCTGAATGAATCGTTCTCGATAGGACATTCATCCTTGTTTAATAATAGAACAGAAAGGACATGCAAACATAGAATATTTCAATGATCGTACGATATTCAATATTATTCTATATCCAAATTGTAAACAAATGAATCGCGTGACTTTTAAAACATTTTCATTCTTATACAAATAAATTGTATATATTTTTGTTGTTTCGTATAATTTTAATATGCAAGTATTTAGAGCTCGAGCGACAGTCGTAATATTTTTTGAATAATAATTAAAGGTTATCAAGCGTTATACACAAGTTTAATCTGTGGATAATTATTCACCTTTACTTTTTTAAGTAATCGTCTTGCGCAATGAGAACTGGCTACATGATCATAAAATAGTAAGAAAATAAAAAGAGAAAGAAATTTTCGCTTGATCACAGAAATATTAAACATAAATGTAGAAATAAAGGAAGGAAAATAATCGAAGGTTGTCATAAAATATCCATTGCCGGTTGTCAAGTGATAAACTTAAAGAATATAGGCAACCCACGCTTCTTTGCACCCTCGTTTCTTGTCCATCGTTCTCCGAGGACATTCGGTGGTATTAAATCGACTATAAATCTTGACGTCTTGTCACCCAAAGTCCACGGTTATCGCCAACTGTCCCCGATTACTTCCGTACGGAAATGTTGGCCGATCCACAGGTGGGGCATAATTCGCATCTTCGATAAGTATAAAGACAGGGATCACCATCGTATTTTTGTCAGTCGGTTATTATATCTCGTCAGGTCCTAAACATCCTAAACGTTATTTTTAGTTTCTTAGTAAAGTTTGTTAAACATACAGGATGAACGATCAATCATATCTAATCATCGCATTAGCGATGATCCTTTTAACAAGTTCGTCATTTGGTTGGCCGTATAGACGTCGAGATGTCTTTGACAATGCGGTAGATAGTCCAGGTGGGCTGGTATCTCATTTGCAACAATTTGGTGAGACCCTATATGGTTTGCCAAATAACGAGACGGGTTCTAAAGTGGCTAACTGGCACGAAGGAATGTCTGTTAATCCTGAAGAATTGGGTAATTATGCTGAAGGTGATATCCTTTTTCCACTTGGAATGGGTAGGAACGGTTTAAAGGCAGAAAATGCTAGATGGCCTAATGGTATTATCCCTTATATGATCAGTCCTTACTTTGGTAAGATTGAATTTAGTAACATTGTAAGATTTTTTCTCTTTTATTTAAGAGAGTTGAGGTACTTAGACTCGACTCGTTTCATGGATTACCCCCGGTATTCGTGTTTTTATTTCATAGACGAGAGACAACGTAAACTCATTCATGATGCTATGGAGGAATATCGCAAATATACGTGCATCAAGTTCAAGCCGTATATTGGCGAGGAAAGCGATTACATTAGAATTACAGCAGGTACTACCGGTTGTTGGAGTAGCGTAGGTAAAATTGGTGGGCGGCAAGACGTAAATCTTCAGGTACCGGGATGCGTAACCAAAATAGGTACCGTGATTCATGAATTGATGCACGCTGTTGGTTTTTTTCATGAACAGAGTAGATACGAACGAGATGAATATGTTACTATAAAATGGAATAACATCATGAATGGTAAATGGAAATAAGAAAAGTTCTCGATTTTTTGATCTTTTGATTTCTTGATTTCTTGGTCTTTGATTGTTAAATGGATCATTTATGTCTTTCCGTCGATTAGGCCACGAAAGTAATTTCGAAAAGGCTTCGAGAGAAATTACCGATGCATTTGGTGTTGGCTATGATTATGGCAGCGTGATGCATTACTCTGCTTATGCGTTTTCCAAAAATGGAGAACCTACTATAGTACCAAAAGTGAGTAAGGTATTTCATCGATCATCTTGTCTAACGTATTATTCATTACGATGTCCTTCGTGTACGGCTTCTGTTGCAATATTTGTTTAGTTCCATTGGCATGTAATATATCTTATTGAATATGTTAAATATGCAAAAAGAAATTTTCATTTATCACGATCGTTCATAATTTCATATCGATTCATACTATTGGTATTTGTCATTTGGATGCGTTGACGTGCGTTTTGTAGGAACCTGGTGGTCTTTTGGGTCTTATCGGAGAAATCTTCCAGGGTAAAACAAAAGTTGAACTTGGACAACGGGAGGGACTTAGTAAACGAGATATTCAAAAAATTCGCAAAATGTACCATTGCAACAAACGTAGGCGTAGTCATAATTGATTTTTTTTCTTTTTCTTTAGTATCACGATTTGCATAATTTCTAAAATGGATTCACGATCTTTTTATTTTTTAAATGATACGATCAATATGAGCATCTAGTCGTAGAATTAGATCATAGATCTCAGGTATAGTTTTAAGTTGGCACGTGTTTTAAATAGAAAAATATATTTACTTTAACCGTTTTTCTTGTGTATTATGTACTTTACGCTACCAGTATTATATAATATTACTTATACGTTATTTAAGTAATAAGTAATAACAATGGTAATAATAATAATAAAAGAATGCATTTAAAACATGGCTCTTGTAATATTTTTTTTTATTTTCTTTTATTTATACGCTCATTTTCTATTTGAAATTTGACCTTCTTGGATGAACATAGCTACTTTAAGGAGAGTAAGAGGCTTGCTCAAGTTTATATCCCCGAAGGGGAAGTAAACTGGTCTCTTGGCAGTATACTAATCATACTTACTTACAAGATGTGCGAACTCATTTTATTAAGAGTTACTCGAGCGAACTACGTTTAAGTGGAATTAGTTAGTAATTTTTTTCTCTTATTTTTTTTTAGGATTTATATTTGTGCAAAGTAAATTAAGAGACTAGCGTAACTCGAGCATTCTTTAAAGAATATTAAAAACATGTCATTTCGTCGTATATTTGCTGTATATTTATTTTGTAATTAATAAATGCGAATTCGCTTAGATGAAATACGAGTATATTACTTAGAATATTTTTTTGATTTCATAAAAAGTTCGATCGACAAAAATCCGATCAATGTCAATATTCGTGTTATCGTCATTAAAAGGTTAAAGAATAGGTTAATCCTTTCTTTCTATTTAAAAATAATCATTCGTGATCTATCTTCAACTAACGTTCATGTCAAATTGATATTCAAAATTTGATAACGCTCAACCTATCCACGTTCTTTTGATAAAGTCAGCTGCCCTTTCGCCTATCATAATGGCTGGAGCATTCGTATTGCCAGAAGTGACCTTTGGCATGATGCTAGTGTCGGCTACTCTAACACCTCGTACACCCCGCACTCTTAATTGATTGTCTACGACAGCATAGGGATCTTCTTCTGGACCCATTTTGCAGGAACCAGCCTGATGATTTTCAGGTGATGTATCGTGTTTCACGGCACATTCCCAATAAGCGTCACATCCAAATTTCAAATGTTGACAATTTTTCACTGGCGTACGATCCAATTGGAAACCATATCTGTAAATGATGGACATAACAAGATCAAATGTGGTGTATTTAAAATGTTAGGTAATATATAGGCAATCATGTTTTAAGAACACGTACCGCTTTAGGGCTTGCGTTTCTGATAGTCTAATCGAGAATTTAATGGCTTCGATCAATCCAGCTATGTCGTCCGGGTGGGACAAGTACTTTGGATAGATTAAAGGTTTCGATATAGGATCGTTGTTGCGTAAACGAAGATAACCACGGCTCTTGGGATGCAAATAGGTGGGGATGATGTAAATAGTACGATTTGTCCCTTTCTTCTCCCCGACCATGCCTGTTTCGGCACAGTCTGCCAGATAACCACCGAATATAAGTTGAACGTCTGGATGATCTTCTTTAGAATTAGCGTATTTCGTATTGACCATTGCTGTTACCTCCGATATACCTGTGTTTTATTGATAATGAGTTAAGTTAAGATAGAGCTAAAAGTTAGAATTTTTCTTCTAATCTGATTCTTTTTGTTAATTCGTTTTCTTTTTTTCTTTTTTTCTTTTTTTCTTTTTCCTTCTTCGTCGTCCCTAAAAGTTGTCACGGAAATGCGAACTAGTAAGAAAAATCGGTATTAACGAACTTTTCCTTCTAGGTATTTCTTTTTAACGATCGATTTGTCTCGAGGCTACATTACGTTCTGAATACCTCGAACACGCTCGAAGGCACGGTTGAACCAATTTGGTAAAAAAGTATATACGGGATATAAGTAAGAAGTACGAGAGAGTAAGTAAAAGATTTAGTTAGTTGCCAGTAATGGATTAATTTGTGTGGGATTTATTTTTTCTTTTTCCTTTTTTTCTTTTCCTTTTATTTTTTTTGCTAAGATTTCTAAATAGGTAACACATGAATATTATAATAAGTTTTTTCTTTCATTTTTTTTCTTTTTTTTTTTTTTTGTTTTGTTATATTCTTGCGTAAAAGCAATAACCGTAAAATGCGTGAATAAATGATGCGTTTCTTTCGATCTAATTAAGTATGGTAATTATAGGAGAATGTGAAAAACCGAAGTAGATCCGATCATTCCAATAATGAACTTTCTCGTGCATTGCATTCTTCCGCTACGTTTGTCATAGAGCGTGACCATATCGGAGATATACTCCGACGATTGCGTCCATAAAAGTATTATAATGACTTAGGTTGAATGTTCTATGATGAGATTAATCTTCGTAATAGAAACTTTTTGATATCATCTTTCATTATACTTGAAACATTCTAATACTTTTTTTTTTTCTTTTTTTTTGTCAATATAGAACATAATGTTTATGCTTACTAACATTGTAAAATATTTCTATCTGATGCAATGCTGAACTTAGAATTTTTTAAGCGGATAGTAACTCGGTGAAAGCAATATATTATGTCATGGTCTTGATCTTACATACATACATTATATATGTCTGCACTTGAAACAATCGAAATATGTATGTGCCAAGTTTATTCCTTAAGCTTCAAGTCGATCAATTATATAACACTCAAACACCGAACTCTCGTTAGTTAATGTAACGTCCTTGAGTTGTTAAGATTGTTCAGATCGTACAAGCATAAAAATAAGACGAGTAATGGAAATCGAATAACTCTTAAGACGGATCGATTCCGTTGTAAAATCTAATTCCTTCGAATGACGTGTGATCGTTTTACCGTTATTCACGAAGTTCATTGAATCGAAACAGAGCCTCATTTGTAATTTAAATCAAAAGATAACGTTCGAAACGTTAAGATCGTTTTCTTTTTTTTCTCTCTCTCCTTTTTTTTCATTTTTTTATTGAGTACAATCGTTTATACTTAAGTAGTTTGTTGCGAAATAATTGAAATGTTGTTATTAAAAATGTGCGATAAATATTAATTTATTTTTTAACGATCTTGTATAAAAAAGAAAAAAAAAAGAAACAGTGATAATTAATAGGATATTAACCGATCGACTTTTTAATAGTGGAGTTTATGAAGAGAATAAAAGAAATGTAACAATAGGAAAATTGTTACGTTATTGTGGATCAACGAATTCAGAGAAGAAGAAGAAGAAGAAGAAGAGGATAATTGTGCAATAAACTTTCACTGGACGTACACGAAGCCGGAGCTGCATCGATCCCGCAAGATGTAACACGCGCGGCCGGATGTACAATCGCGACCAACGAATCGTATTTCTTTACTGTACGTTTAACATTTCTAAAAATATTTCTAATTTTTTAATTTTCTAATTTTTATTTTTTATTTTTTTTTCGTCCATGAAAGTTTGATCACTTTAAGAGTCAAATAAAGAGTTCCTAAAATTTGAATACGATTCGACTAAAATTGGGATTTTAAACCATTGATCGATATGATTCATAGATCTTCCTTTATCGAATAATTTAATTTACATCGAAATTTGTACCGTTGAAAAAGTTTTGATATTCGTCGATTAGTAATAAATTCTAGGTATAATTATAATTATACTTTCTTCTTATGAAAATAATTAATTGTAGATTAAAGAGATAAATGTTAATTAATTTACCTGTTCCAGACATGAGTCCGTCTCTGAAGAGTAGGTACTCCATAGCAGTAGCCCAATTAAGTGGAGTGGTGTCAGTGTCGTTTATCGTGAAAGTCAATGTGTAGGCGACGTGATTGTGCAAATTCTTGCCAACTCCGGGAAGATTATGAATTACGGGTACACCGACGGCATTCAGTTCATCTCGTGGCCCAATGCCACTGTTTAGAAGTATCTGAGGTGAGTTAACGGCACCTTCACAAGACAATTTCAAACGATCGGCTTATATAAACGTCAATGCGAATAGAAGTAGAAATTGTAAAAATACGATATAATGACGGATGATAATAATTATATGATATAATGAAATAAAATTAAATTGTTTTTTTTCTTTTTTTCTCTTCTTTTTCTTTTTTCTCTCTCTCTTTTTCTCTTTTCTTTTTTTTTTTTTTTTTTTAAACAAATACCTAAATATAAGGATATAATTATGCTGTAACAATGCGGTTTTGTATTTTTACATCGGACTATAATTTAGATCTTGAAGGACGTCTTGATTATAAGTTTTGCCGTTAATATAATGTAATCATAGCGAGAAACACTTAATTAATGTCTTTCGAAAAATATAGGGTTGTTAACACGAGATCTCTTCAAAGACATTCAACGTTATCTCGTTCCAAGATTAGTAAGAGAGATTGTTACCTCCGCTTATAACAACTTCCTTCGCGACTGATACTCGATTTAACTTTCCATCGTGAACGAATTCCACGCCAACTGCCCTCTTATTATTGTCAAAGAGAATCTTTGTTGCTGTTGAGTTCAACATGATGTGAAGATTTGGACGATTCCTAGCGGGACGAAGGAAGGCTCGAGCCGTGGAAAGTCGAGACCCGTTTCTCGAGGTCGTTTGTGCTATAGCGAATCCGGTGTGTATTCGTCCGTTCAAATCCACCGTGTCGTATCCTATCGAAAAAAGTATACTTTTGATTTCGTTAGTTTTGCCAAACGAACAGAAAAACGTTACTAAGCGTCGATCTGTCTGTATCTAATTTTTCCTTTTGTTAAATTTTTATTAATGTTATAGAAGAAATGATCAAGAGAAATTGTTGGACATATCGAACAATATCAACTAGAAATATAAGATAAAAATTACTACTTTCGTTATCTTTTTTATTGATTGTCAAGGACAATCGATAATCTCACTATCAATAATAACCAAGTTCTTTCCCAGCTTCGAGAAGGGCGTAGCTCAAAGGAGGATGATAATGGAATTGCGTAACAGTGAGTGGTCCTCCAACTCCGTGATAACCGATATCCATGTTATAGACTTGAAGATTATCCTCGCTTTTTATGAAGTATGGTAGGACATCCTGATAAGACCAACCAATGTTACCCATCATGGCCCAATCGTCGTAGTCCTTTCTGGAGCCTCTCATGTAGGTCATTCCGTTCATAACGCTAGTACCTCCGAGAACCTTCGATTGTAAACAAATAGATACTAAAGTGATCAGATATATGTACATATATAAGTATAAAGAAATGTGTGTTTTTGGAAGGTCACAGGATTATTTACTTTTCCTCTTGGCCAGTAACATTTTCTCTCGTCTTTATTCAAACACGCTTGATCCTCGCTCTCAGTCATATATTGCCAATCGATGTCACTTCCAAGAAAATTGAAGAAGAACGATGGAATTTGTGTACCAGTTGGTTCGTCTAAACCAGCCTCTAACAGTAATACAGAAAATCTTGGTTCCTCTGATAATCTCGCTGCCACTGCTGCTCCAGCACTACCTCCTCCTATCACCACAAAGTCGTATCTAAAAACGAAACATATATTCCCGTGCTTCTTATACTTTATTATATCGTCGACCACAGTATCTCTCATGTAATCGGTTAGGATCCTATTTCTTCATGAAACGTGAACACGAAATTGGATTTAACGAAGGATTGGATTTGTTCCAGCTGGGCGAAAGGTGATTTTCCCATGACTTTGCTAGTTGATCATCTTTGCTAGTGATCACGGAATGTTACGATCGAGTGTAATAAAACGAACACGCCCATGTCTAATCGCATATCTATAGTCAATTACATACTTTCGTATTTATTTGTATAACGTGAACGTAGAGGGGTTGATGGCAATCGTGAACTTAGAACTCATATTGCATAAAGAGCAAATCAATGATTATTTTCTCTGGCATAGAGTAAGACCATATAATCGATTATTCCAAAGCAATATTCAGTTTAGTAAAAGTGAAAACGCGTTCTATAAATTTGTTAAATCAAGGTCAATTATCTACTGTTTACGTTTCAAGTGTATCGTCAATGATAGACGCATGAATATTTCCACTTTCATTTTTCACATTCATATTTATAAAGAACCTTACGAAAAGCTGATGCCATATTCTGTATTACATTACTCGTTCGATGCACCATCTCGACGTGATGTAAGAAGAAGAGGTTCACTCATCTAGACAATACCCTGAAGCATATCTTAAGAGTACACAAACGAAAGAATTTCATGGCTGCGTGTGCATGGGTGCTTACTTCCGAGAGATCGAGAAAAAAGAAAAAGAAAGACAGGGAGACAAAGAAGGAAATAGGGAGAAAAAAAGAGATAGAGATAGAGATAGAGATAGAGATAGAGATAGAGATAGAGACAGAGCAGAGACAGAGAGAAAGAGAGAAAGAGAGAGAGAGATAGATAGAGAGAGAGAGAGAGAGAGAGGGAGAGAAAGAGAGAGAGAGAGGGAAAGAGAGAGAAAGAGAGAGAAAGAGAGAGAAAGAGAGAGGTTGCTGTCTCGTTAAAAGAAAATTTCCACAGCTAGTATTACGTGAACAGTGCCAGGTGACAATTAACTTCATCTTCGTTGGGAGATCGCAGAAGCGTCCTTCGTTTTCCTTTCTCGAGATTTTTCGAAAGAACAAGATATGGTGAGAGCCCCTTGGTATAATCGAAAAATGATTTGCAAGTGTCTTTTTTATATCTACGTAAGTACATAGTATACTTTGAAGAGAAGTGAGATAGTTAACTCGTGTACATAATATAACCTTCCTTTAACGAGTTATTTCGTTATCGGCTGGCCATCAAAGAAAACGATGAACTCTTAGATGAGTAACGTTCTTTCGTTTGTCCTTGACTCATATCTTAGGTAGTAATTACGTTTAACGGACCACAGCAATCGGCTTACCTCATGTTTACGTTTTTCGGAGGTATAGGCCTATTACAGGGATCTTCAAGGTCGCATTGACTTCGAAGGAACACTTCAAGGAGACCCATGAACAACATAAACGATGGTCCACCACAAGTGGAGGCCAATGTTGGCCCAGTGGCCGTGGTCAAAGGGCAATTACAGCTCATCTGTAATGTTATTACAATTTTTATCGAATTATTTATTGATTGATACTCTTGTTAGATTTTGTTTAGATTAGAAATTAATGATCAGCACACACACACAGAGAGAGAGAGAGAGAGAGAGAGAAAGAGATAGGGAGATAGGGAGAATTTGGAGTGATAATAATTGATTGCACTCACAAGGGAAACGTCATTTAATCGCCAATTAAATACTAGATAGTCCGTAATTAATGCTCCGAGGTATTCCTAATTGTAATTGCAATCGATTAAATGCCATTCGTCCATTGTCGAAAGAGTGATAAAGTATGGTGGAGTTTTTGAAGTTTAAATATGTTTAATATTGACAGTGAGAAAGTAATTGATCCGTTGGGGTATTTTCTCATATCTAATACATTCAAAATGAATTTGGAAATTAGAAATATCTTTCGTTTATATTTACCAATAGTCTCGTATCAATGTTCCATGCTCATTGAGTTAATTCGTTGATTTTTTAGATATTTCTTACGTAGGAAACATATTTTAATTCATAATAAGTCAAATTTAGCACATAATCATCGTGTTCGTAATAAAACTGAATATATATATATATATAAGAGGAGTATGAAACAAAAGTAAAGTGAGAGCGTATTTTATACGTGCCTTTTCTATGTGCACCACGTAATGACTGTGCATAATAGCCACGTAAACAAAAAAGAAAAAAAAAAGAATACAGAGAACTGCAAAGGTGTAAACTCATTCAAAGAGACTTTATCACGTAAATCTTTATGTTCTTACTTGTATACGGAAACACGTACCACTACTCTTTTCTTAACACTTACAAACAAGGAAAAAGTTTCGTCAGGGTGCGTCTGGGATAAGATTAACTCTCGTTTAGAAACTTTTCTCTTTCATCGACTGAAATTCATTGATTCGTATCAAAAATAAATGATCCAACGAAATTTCTTCCTCCCTTATCTTTTTTGTTTTTCTATTCTTTTTTATGGTTTTGTTTTTCGACGATCTCGTGAAATTAGAACGAGATCCCCGTAACGGGAAGCTTTCTCGTACGGTGAAGAATTGAAGGGGAAACTCTGATCCTGTATTCTCTTCGTTGTGTAACATTTTTACAACAAGCCGAGTTTCCTCTTCCTACAATTCTCATTGTCAGATATTCTGATACATCCTGGGCCTCCGTACTCCGTTTCGTCTGTTTTAATTGAATTCTATCGGAAACGAATCGATACGTTCTAATTTTCTCTATTGTTCCCATCTATTTAGAGATTAAAAATATGTGGACAAAAACTTTTTCTTTTAAAAGAACATTTTTTCCTAATTGTTTACCATCACGATCGACAATTTACATATCAAGTAAGGCTTCGACGTAATGCATATATGTCTTTTTCTTTTTACACAAGACCGTTACGTTCACTGACCGAGAACTGCATCGAGTCTCTTACCATCGATTACGAAAGTCACGCATTTTTGCAGCTTCTTTTAAATACACATATATATTTTCTCGTTCGAGTATATTTTCCGTTATGTTTTCTTTTGTTTTGGTTACCTTTTTATCTTTCCTTTTTTTTCCCTCTTTACATTAAACATTCAGATAATTACCGGGTATATGCGTTTTGTTGCACACGCTACGTGAAAATGACGAAACACATACAATTATATGAATTTGACGTTCTCGAGTTAGGATTTTTGTAGTCGATATTCAATGATTAGGATATTATGCATGAAGTGGAAGAAAAAAAGAAAATAAAGCTTGTTTTGCCAAATCAACCATCAAATTCATTATAATATATTTTAATGTTTTGCATATTTTATACTATGCATATGTAGAAGTTTTCAATGATTTAACATAAAAATGCATCTTGCGTCTCGTTATTGTAAACGATCGTATAATTTGTACTCTTCGGTTTTATGAATTTGAAAAAATAGTTTCTCATTGTGAAGAATAATAATATACGCGTACGATTATGGGTAACAATAAATCGGTACGATGTTTCACACTTTTTTCTTCAATGAATTTTGTAGTTGTTAAGATTTATATGGACATAAAAAATGATGAAGTACCGTGGTGAAGCATAACAAAGAGGTATAACAAATAGTTTTTCTTCTGAAAAAACTATTTTCGTTGTAGTATTAGTAAGTGTATGTGCAACAGTATGTCTATATATATATATATATATATATATACATACACAATATACTTATATATATACTTATTTGTATATATATATGTCAGAGATTGAGAAATTACTTTGGTTACAGCAAGTTTTCTACGATCTAACATAAGAACGCATCTTGTGTCTCTTTAATATACGATCGTATAACTTTTATTCATTGGTTTCGTGGATTGGAAAATGGATAAAAGAGAAGACACATTTTTTTCTTTTTTCAGACAATTAATTCATTTTAATAAATTTGAATTAATGATTATAACACAAAGAACGAAAATACTGTTTTCTACGAGGAGAATGTAAATAGTTGAAAATATTTCAAGGGAAAGGTGTGTTGACCCTCCTGTTAATGCCAAGGTGTGCAATGGAATTGAGTAATAATTAGTAAGATTAGATACACCTGCTGTTTGATATTGACTCGTTTACCTTCTTCGGTCCAATTAACGCTACAAGTTATTGATATCATTAAAAATTGCCTTTGTAAACATTAAAATATCTCTCAGTTTGCAATCGAAAGTCGAACCAGTAAACAGGATCCTGGATGGCAGCTTTGAATACAATTTTTTATTTGTTATAAGTATAATATACATATATGCATATGTGTGTCTCTCTCTCTCTCTCTCTCTCTCTCTCTCTCTCTCTCTCTCTCTCTCTGTATATATATATATATATATATATATATACATATATATATTTATTTTGAATGAATAGACAATAGAGCGAAAGATAAATGTATAAAAAAGGATTGGCTCACCTTTAAGCCGTTTTAGACTTGTTTCGTATCGGCTATCTAAAGGCCGATATTTAAACGAGTTTACACACACACACACTTAAGACCTTTGATTTGGAACGATGTATGTACCCTTTCAGTGACACTATCGGATTGAACAAAATCGTGGCTTACAGTGGCACGATCAAGAACCGACTAGGCCGGTACCATTCCCATCGCGCTTGTAATATTCGACAACTTCCACCTCCTTTCGGCCTTCCCTTCTGCTTCCAATCCATGGAAGCGTTTCCAGAGACTGCGAATGGAAGGTATGATAGTTCTATCCTTTACAAACTTGTTACGTGGACGGAATTTCATTTGTTGCGTTGTAGTTTTACAAGTTTTTGTTTTGTTTTGTTTTCTTTCTTTCTTTTTTTCTTTCTTTTTTTTTAATCAAATATATCGATTCTAGATACACAATTTAAAGTTTTATAAACTTGTTTATCTTATAATTTATTACTTAACATTTTTAGATCCTGATCGAAAATATTCCTGATCATAAACATTTATGATCGATGTGGAAATATTTTTATCGATGACATAATTTGCAAATATCGATTTTTCTATATGTCATTAGCAACAGTTGCGCGCGCGCGTGCACATACATACACATACATTCGAATGTTCGTTCATACATACATACTCATTTTTTTTTAATTTTATCTTTCATACTAATACCGACAATATCGTTCTTTCCACGATCCTGCTCGGAAATAGCTTAACATTAACTTTTGATAACAGAAACGTGTTAAAAAAAAATTTTGATGTCAATACGTATATAGACGAGAATCATATGATTTTCTAGTTGAAATATTCAATATGCTCCGAAATCTTTTTTCGACGACTCGACGGTTTAGCATACTTTTACTTTTGGCTCGAGGCAATAATACGATACGGAGAAAGATCCGCGCTTGAAACATAAATGGACATTTACAAGCCAAATTTACATTACATAAACATAAAGGAAATGTTTCGATCGATATAAAAAAATTTATAATTGCACGATCGAATCATTAATATCGATCAAATCGATATATATATATATATATATATATATATATATATATATATATATATATTCGATAACGTAGAACAATCCTGTTAATAATCTAAAACTTTGATTACTCTAAAATAAGTATATAATTCAAGTTAAAATTCTAACTTATTGTAAAACATTATAATACAGACAAAAAATAACACTTTTCGTCTTTCAATTATTTAATACTTGTATAATACGACGCGATGTAATATAATAACATAATATAGTACACAGCCTGATAGTGAGAAAAAAAGCGATAACGAGTTAAGCCTAAAGTTTCTAAAATGTTACGTAAAAAGTATATTAGATGGTATACTTTCATTAAAAAAAAGAAAAAAAAAAAAAGAAAAAAAAATAAATAAAAAAGAAATTAAAAAAAAAATAAAAAGAAAGAGATAAAGTCAAAAGATTAAAGTCGGCTTAAATCTTAAAAAATAAAAGAGGTCGATTAAACTACGTCATTAACGTCTTGTCACGAAACAAAAATTGTTCTTTTCGCAAAAGGTACGGAAATAAATTACGATCAAGAGGCAAGTAAGAAATATATAGCTCATAGCCATCCTTGGATCTCTTCTAACGATCGCCCGTAATTAAGGTAAAGAAAACTAAAAATAACGAATTGTTATCGTATCTTTATCGAATCTTCAATAATACGATAATACGAGAAGATCGGCGCTTTGTAGGTATTTTAACGTTTGCCGCAAGGAAACGCAGGAAGATATACGTTTATTAAATAAAATCAATGGAACAATCATTGTCGGATAAGAAATAATTATCCCTTCCATTAAGATTAAAAATATTGTTTCCTTTTATAAAAAAAGAAAAATAAAAAAAAAGAAGAAGAAGAAGAAAAAAATCTCACAGACAAATTTTCCCTGCAGCTAAACGAAAATATATACATATATAGTATATACATATAAATATAGTATATAGATATACTATATGAGATTTAAATTAAAAAATATAAAGAACAACAATATAAACCTGAATGAAGATCGTTTAGATTAGTACAAAAAGTAGAAATTAAGTATTTATAATCATTCGAAATAGAAAATTCGAAATCTCGTTTTGCAATCAATGGTAAAAATAAAAAAAGGCATTTAAAAATTTCAATATATGTTAAATAAAATCACATATGAGGATTGATAGCGACGGGCGTTCATCAGACAGTTGACGTCGATTATTACATCCTTTACGTAATGATCATACGTCTAATTCTTATTCGATCGAACATCCTAGACATGAATATTTATTCTACTTTCTTAATTCGTAGCTGTAATAATCCCGCTAAAACGCTCGTGAAACCGGCGTTATAGTCGAGCGTAACTTCGGTATAAATATATTCTTCTCGATGATCTTGAAACTTGTCGGCCTCGTCCGGTCCGGATACTAAAGCACCGTAAAGTATTTGAGGATTTGGTTCTTGTCTATCGAATTCTGGCCACCCGCAAGGGGCAGGTTTATTTGGACAAGAGGATGCTGCATGATGTGGTTGTGTAGGTGGATTATATCCATATCCAACGACATAACTTCTTCCTAATTCATTACAAAAATTAATAAATTAATTAATAACATTATTTTCTTATTAAATTATTCTTAATACAATAATATTCTCTCTTTACATCGTTTTATATAAGATAATATTTAAAATATTTTCTTTTTTCTTTTCTTTTTTTTTATTCTGTTTTGCTTTGTCTTTCTTCTCTTTTTCCATTTTTTTTTTCTTTATATCAATATTATTTTTCGATATAGTTTGCGACAATTTAATGAATAACGTAATATCATTCAACTAAACCATTTTACCTTCATCACCTAGCATATATGAGATCTGCTGCGTTGCAAATTCACGATATTCCTGGGGATCACCGATATTGGGATAATCAGCAGCTTGCAGACAAACAAATGCCACGTTTGCAGCATGACAAAGAGTACCGAATTTGTCGATGTACAATAGTCCTTTAGGCGTGCGCTTTTGTTGTCGAACGGAAAAATCACAGAAAGCACACGCGGCGTTTTGATATTCCGGTTGACCTGTCAATTGTGCCAGCAGAACCTATAAAACGAAATGGCTGTTAATCTGGAGAATTGATCGTTTTATTAATATAAATCGAATTTGTTTATTTTTTTTTATAAAATTACGTATATATTTTGAAAATTATCGATTTATATATATACACAAACACACATGTATATTCAGTTAGTTCTTATATATACATTTTCTATATATATACATTTTCTTTTTACATATTTTTCTTTTTACATATTTTTCTTTTTACCTGAACTCCGGCAACCTTTTTATTATAAAAGAACTCGTTTGGTCTTTCCTTAAGATGAAAATGTTGATAATGATGCTCGGCATCCTCAAGGTATCTCGAATCGTTAGTTGCTTTGAAGAGCCAAGCAGCAGCCCAAGCTAGCTCGTCTCCGTAATCAGTGCTTTCGTAATATTGCGCTGCTCCACGAATTGCACTGTGATAAAGACCACGGTATTTATTAGCAAAATTGTAAAGCTCCTTGGCATGTTTGAGACAGCGTTCGCTATAATTTGGATCGACGTTCTTGAATACAATACTGGATGCTGCGAGTGCTGCTGCAGTTTCACCGGCTAAATCAGAACCTTGATAAAAAAAAATATAATATAATTATTTCAACGATATTTTTTTTTCTTTATTTATGATGGAATTTTAATTAGAAATTATTTACTATATCGAATGAGAATTATAACGCGATACGTCGATATGACGAGATATTGGAAGCGAGTAAATAATATGAACTACTTTTATCGATTCGATGAATATGTTGTACGTCGCATACATCTATGCTTCTAATATGGAAATAATAAATGTAATGACTCGTAAAATATATATACGAGGAATCCAATTATATGGCGATTATGATAGAGAATACATAATTAGGAAAATTTACTTTCAGGTGGGTGAGGAATGAGGTCAAGGATAGTTATAGAAGTAAATTTTTAATTGAAGAGGGTAGCAAAATTCGTTTTTAATTAGTTCGAAATAGATTTACCAGGATGATCAGGATCGATCTTGTAAGCTGGCCTTGTTGTATTCAATTCTTCCGGTCTTCCCCAATACGTATGATCGACGGAAAAATCACCAACTTGTCCGTAAAAGACGAACTCGCTTACGTGACATTTGATAAAGTAGTCGGTAGCCCATTTAATGGCTTTACGAATTTCATCGAGTTGTCCGGCCTCAATATAAGCTTCCGGCCAGCTAACAGCTCCCCATGCTAAAAGTGTTGTCGTTGATGCCATGGTGAAACCAAATTTTACGAAGTCACCGGCTGTCGGATATACAAAAAAAGATAGATGATAAGATAGGTTTGTCAAAATTATGTCACACTGATAGACATTAGTAAATAAGAAATTTAAGAAAAGAATATCTCTTTGAGTTGATATCTATAACTTTCCACATTTTTTTTTTCTTTTTTCTTTTTTTTTTCTTTTTTCTTTTTTTACTTTTACGTCAACGCGATAAAAAATTGTATCCTTCCGATAGGATCGAAACTTTTCATTGATAAAAATTCCTGAAACATTCTTAACACTTTGTTATTCGTTATCATCCTACACGTTGCACTATCTTGTCTTTTAACTGACGTATACCGTGCACAATCGTTCACGTGTTTCCTCTCGAAATATATTCTTTATCAAAGCCGTTCTCTTTCATAATATTTGTTGAACGCCGATACATGACATACGACCCATTAATTCGCCGAAACGTCTCCTTATCTACTTGAGTCTGACAATGAGAGAAAGAGAAAGAGAAAGATCAAAGGAACGAGAGAAACGTAGTTACTTACGTACGAGAAGACTCGCACCGAAGATACGTAACGAGCTAAAAGCGATAATTGAATTCCTCTTAATCGCACGTTTCCTCTAATATATCAACTCGAAGAAACTCGAGCTTTTCTTAATTTCGTATATTAAGATAGTATAATAGTAAAAGTAGAATTTAAAAATTGGATCACCAACGATAATGTTATTATGTTAAAACTCACCGTCATAATAACCACCCGTAAGATCTTCGCCATTGATTCCGCGATCACTCAATGCGGAATCACCTCTCCACGATATTCTGTTGTTTTCCGGAAGTTTACCGGATCGTTGCGCTTCGTAGAACAATAGAGAGAGCTCTAGAACTCGAGCATAATCTCCCTCACCTTCTTCGATTGGCTTCACGGAGGTCGCTGAGGTGGCGCTTATCTTCATAATCGAGGCCACGGATGTTATCGTTAAAGCCTGTCAATTTTACAATTTTTTATTATATGAGATCGAACCCTCTTTGGGGTATGTATACAAACGTTTTATTGCTTTAAACAATGTAGAATTTTTATTGAGACATAAATGAGAGAATTATTATATACAATAGAATTACCGTGTTCAAATGTCTTTAATTACATGTAAATAATTAATATTATTTATTTAATTATCGTTATTATTAATCATCCATCTCATTGGTTTAATATATAAATATACAAGTTTCATTTTGTTTTCGTTAAAAAATTCTCATCTCAAGAGAGAAACATTCGCGAGTGTTTCGTTAAAATTTGATTTTCTGTACGCGCATTGGAAGATTCTTTCTCGTCACATATCGGTACCTCAAGGAAAGAGAAAGAAAAAGAATAGAAAAAAAGAAAAAGTACTACATGAGTTTACAATAAGGACGGTATTTGCGGAGGGTGTTGGCGTTTGTCATACAGATATACTATGTGGTCGGCGAACTCGAAGAATTTCTTAGAAGAGGTAAACGTGCGTGAGAGAGCTGCACGAGAAATATAGACGGATCTCACCTACGTTTTCAACATACAATTTATACATAAATTTCTTTTTTTCTTTATATTACGTTTCATTAGAATTTTTCTATTGATAGAAATATTTCTGACATTTGTCTTTGTGCGTATGTGTTTTACAAATTCGTACCTTATATCCTTGATTTTCAATCAATCGTATCGACATATAGAAATAAGCAAGGCAAAAGTTTCAGCATGAAATTAATGGGCGGCCACGTGCGAAAAATAAAGACGGAAAGAGAGAGAGAGAAAAAGAGAGAGAGAGAGAGAGAGAATGAGATGGGGACCGGAAGTCGCCGTCTCATTCCCACTTCCTTTCGTGGTTAACACACAGTCAAAGATTAATAATATTTGATTATGTATAAACCACATATGAGTAAATATTTGGGTAACCGAACTAATTATGTGATTGAGATATTACACATTATGTGTTTCATTCGATGGTAATAATGTTTATATATACTAATATATATATATATATATATATATATATATATGTATATATATGTATAATATCTATAATGTATATATATGTATATATATATATATATCTATAATATCTATAATGTATATATATATATATATATATATATATTTATATATATATATTTATATATATATATATACACATTAGTACGGATGAGATGAAGTCGAAGGATGTGACGTAAGATGGCAGGAAACACGTCAACGTACGTCATCAAAGAAAGAATCTACCAAAGAGTAATTGCTAATCTCATTTCGAAATCGCCTTGAGGGAAGAAAACTCACCGTGGCGCACGCGGAGATAACGTTGATCTTCATTCTCTATCTCTCTCTCTCTATCTCTATCTCTTTCTCTCTCTCTCTCTCTCTCTTGGTCTCTCCTTCACTGTATCCTTTCGTACGACCTCCTCGTTCTTACTACGTTCGAATAAATCTCCGCATAATCGCTTCTATTTCTTGACGTCAGTTCCATTCGGCATAGCGTATCCTTCCGAAGTCAACGATCATCTTCTTCGAGCTTTTTCTTCTTTTTTTCTCAGTAAGTAGATACACTAGGGCAGGACTAGAAGTTATTAGCACGCTCTAATCGCGCATTTGTCGTATCTATTTGAGAAAATGTAAGAGAACCAATTGAATCATCGATTATCAAATGCATGCCAAAATTCATTGAGTATGTATGTATGTATGTATGTATGTATGTGTGTATGTATATATGTATGTATGTATGTATGTATGTATGTATGTATGTAGTACACCTATTAGGGGTAAATAATAATAATCGTTCTCGAGGATATATAATCTTGTTGGAGATATTGTTGCGTGACTTTTCACGAAATCGAACTACGAAGGTTGTCTCTCGAGTTGTACTATTTATATACAGTAACTGAGCACAATAATAAGTTCGAGTTTCCCTCTCTCCCTGTTACTCTTTTTTTCTTTCTTTCTTATATTAGTCTGCCTGTCTGTCTATCTGTCTTTCTCTCTCTCTCTCTCTCTTTCTCTCTTTCTTACTACAACATTATATTATTCCCCTTTCTATCATCACTTTACGATAAATTTGCCCTTAACTTTTTACCACTCGGTCTTGCCTATCTAGCTTCGAGGAATACGTTGTATATTCTCTCTTCTCTTTTACAGTTGTCAACATATACATTCATACATACATACGTTGCATAAGTTAATATTAAATATATCTAGAAAATATCGACAAGTATAAATAATAGTTTTCATTGAATATATACATATGTCTTTGCTATTCTACTTGTCTATCGGGCTCGCATGTACTATCGTCAAACGTTGGATCGGGAAAACCCATTAATGATCGACATGTTCCAAGTATCGATGACGTTTTGTGTACTCGTTCGTCAGTATACGATAGGAAGGAAGAAACTAATTATTATTCGATTGATTTATGAATTGACTTTTACCATTCAAATAATTTCCATGTAATGGATATATTCAAGAAGGAAAAAGGAAAAGAATTTATCATACGAGGGATAAAGTAGAGCAAAGGATGATCGTCCGTCGAGGAACGAACTTGCGCGTACGATGACCCACGTTCGAAATAATTACTATCGTTCTCGAGCGTATTCCAGCGTCAATAGCAATTATTGTCGGACAAGTTTATTTGTTTGTTTGTTTATTTTCTTTTCTCAGAAGATTGACGATCCTATTAATATAAATTAATATTTATGGAGCTCGTTGTTTTTCTATTATTTTTTTTTTTTTCGTTCACTTCACTTTTTACACTTTACACTTTTCCACCTGGATCCTCCTTGAGGTGAGAGAAAAAAAGAGACAGAGACAGAAAGGGAGAGAGAGAGAGAGAGAGGGAGAGAAAGAGAGAGGAAGAAAGAGATAAACAATGAAAGAGAGAAAACAAAAGAGAAAGAGAAAGAGAGAGAGAGAGAGAGAGAGAGAGAGAAAAGAGAAAGCTAATTCTGACTTTCGTAAGTTTTGTGATAAAAAAAGAAAATTAGATTCGTACGATACGATGCTTCTCGTCGTTCTTTCGCTCGTTCGTTCTTCTTGGTCGTTATTAGTCATCGAATCGAACGATTTGCATGCATGAAGCGTACTCGTCTCTTTGCCGCGTCTTCATCGACGATACGACCTTATGTTGTAGCAGGTAAGAACTTCTTCTCCTTGAAAGAAGATGAAAATCGTTGGCAAACGTTTCTATTATTGATCAGCGAATCCGAGTAAATCATCGATTTTGACTTAGCGAGTACTCTGATTGACTGAGTGACTTACTGACTGACTACCAGCGCGAGTGGACGACCATCGTACTCGTCGCTGAAGGATGTGGAAGTGGGGACGAGTGTTCGGGAGAAGGAGAGGAGAGAACTCGCTATGTAAAAGCTGACTTTTCGTACGAGAAAATATTTCATATACATATATATATATGTGTATATATATATATACACATACACACACATACAATGATTTAATTGTTTAAAATAGATTTCCGAATTATTTTCAAAGAGATGTCTTTTTTATTCTTTTTACACATCTAATCTCGCGTTATTATAAGGACACGATAATGATCAGAAAAATAATGTTAAATTTGATGTATCGTGATATGTCTAATATGAATATGTAACGTTTTAAATTCATTTACTAAATTTCATACGAATTCACTTTTACGAAGGGGGAGATAATTTTGTTTCGATAATGTCTGAATCTTTTCAAAACAACGATATCAGTCTATTCTGTTTTTTTTCTTCGTTTTTTTTTTTTTATTTTATTTTTATATATGTTCGATTACTCGTAATTGATGGAAATAATGAAATTGAACGATCATTCTGAATGATTTTTCTTAGTTTCTTGGAAGATGAAAAAGGAAACACAGACACGCATATAATTAACGCACATTTTGTGACTCTTTTTTTTTTTAATTAAATAATCAAAAATCTTGGCGTACGTTCAACCTTGCCAAAATCTATTATATTAACATAAATAAAAGAATATTCAATAGATAGAAACTATAACATGCAAGACATGCTTCTCCATCCTAACTAAAACTAATATTCGGAGAACGATTGCTTAATACGTTTGGTTCAAGCAACGAATACAACCGAAAATTTTTGAACAACTATTGATACTGATAACTTGCGTGATCATTTATTAATTCCGACATAGGATGATTTTAATCGATCGTCAATTGTCGGAAAGATCCATCGAGACCGAAAATATCGTCGTGAGTCCTTGGTTTGCCTGGTCGAAGCGATTCGTTTGCTACGACAGATGTTTGTGCAGCGAACCAGGGACCATATTCTTCTAATTTCTTTATCCAGGCGTCTATAAATTCAAAAGAAAGAAAAAAGAATGAGGAAATGAAATAAAATGAATCATTTGGAATATTTTAAATTAATATTTAAATCAATTCAATATTCATACCGTGTACTACTTGAATAGGTTCAGCATCGCCACCATATTCGATGGGTAAAATTTCTTTGGGTATATACTCGTAAAGAGTTTCTAGTTTACTGTGCATAAAAATTCGATTCCGTATTTTTTCCTTCAGGAATGGTTTAACGAAGTTTACTATTGTGTCGACTAACGGACTGATGTTCACCACGTGTACTTGCTTCAATTTCACGGGATAAGCCTCTTGAACACAAACAAGAAATTTTTTCAGGATCGTAGGAGTGAATTTGGCGAAATGTGATGGTGTTGCGACACTTGCATCTAAAATATAAATATCACCAGCTACACCATGAATTTCTTCTTTGAGACGAATGTCTCCTATCATCATAACGAGTTTCATTAGATTTGGTACATTCGGTGTTAGTGTATCCTTCCTTATTCCACGCATTATTATTACTCTGCATCCATCCTCTGTTAAGCCTGACATTGGTGGAATATTTCTGTAAATAATTTATTTATTATTTTTCTTTTTATTCTCTTATAAAACTTCTTTCTTAGTATCACAGTTTTTAAAGTTCTTCAAAAAAATAGAAAAAAAATTTGAATACTAAATACTTCCACGAGTACGCTTACATTATATCGAGTATTTCTTTTAATTCCGGCTGTGTGACGTCACGATTGCTGAAGAACTCTGGTACGATTGCTCGCATTGTGAAATACATGTCAAGTTTCTTTTTGCATTTTTCCAAAGAAAATTTGCATCCACGGAGAAATGTCATCAACATTTGATCATCTGAGAAAAACAATGATTTATCATATATAAACAATTATTTACGATTATATGCATTATGTAAACGGGCATTAATTAGTCATCAAAGAGATACATATTTATGAGCTATTGTTTTTGTCCGTTTACGTCTGATTTTTTTGTAAGTAACTTTTTATCATCGGTACTTTTCATAGAAATTATATTAATGTATGAGTGAATATTTTACCATCGACATTAGGTAAATGTGGTTGTTTGATTAGCCATTCCTTGATGATCTTCAAATCATTGTCTCGAGTCGTTACATTTTCATTGAGTCGCACTCTAATCAATTTTGACATCTCCTCCTTTGGCTGTATTAGCAACATCTATAAATGATATATATATACATATATATGTATAGTAAATTATTATTTTTGAAATTGTAATTTATGTATATTAAAAGAGCCAGTGAAATATTATCATTAGCACCTTATTATGAGTATGTTATGACTGCGATCATTGCATAATGAATGATAATAAATGCAATGTAAATCATCCCATGAAAGCAAAATAATAATACTTTTTTCATCTTAAGGTGAGAGCTGTTGATTTAACATTAAATTTACCGAACACTTGATAGTTCATTCTTTCGTTTAAAGAAAACGACGTAAATGCAAAGTTCGATTATATAAATTATTTAAAAGTAATGTAACATTTTTTGAAAATAAAAAGAAAAAAAATTAATCGAATAAAACGAAACATAATTGCATTTCAACATGACTACGATTTTCAGCATATTCGGTTAAGCGTAATTTAACTAACATCCATTTCTTTGTTTTATCATTATGTGTAAGTGTAATATGTAATAATGGACTATAATATTACTTGCGCAAGTAGTCAATGCTTATGTGAGAAATTATGACTGACCAACAGCTTTATTGCTCAATAGAAACTTTCTCCAGACTCGTCACGGTTCATGAAATAGGAGACTTTTGCCCTATCTTTTTGTTTTTTTTTTTTATAGTCTATAGAAAAATACGATAATTAATATTATTTATTTTTTTTGTTCTTCTTTTTTTTCTTTCTTTTTTATATAAATACATATACATAAATATAAAGATTTGAACTTAATCGATTGAAAACTTAATCGACAATCTTATTTTATATATATAGATACCGCATATATATAATTAGTTTTACAGTGACGTAGACGCACGATAGGAATAATTAAAATCAATAAAAAAATATATATATCACTTGTAAAATACAAGTTGTATGATAAATTAACTTCAGTTTTCCATTGATTTATTCGATTTGAAAGTGTTTTTCTAGCCTATTGAAATATTTCCATGTGAAAAGTCTAATGGACGAGTGTAAAGTTCACATTTCTAAGTGTGACACATTCATACAAGAAATAATGTTGAAAGAACATAAAAACAAAAATCGTGGTTGCCAAACCATTATCCTTAGTGAAACCTGAAATTAGGCAATGCGATAGAAAGGTATTCAGAATGCCTTTCACAGTTGCAGAGAAAATTTGCTTTACTATTTACATTCTCGAGCGTATGATTACTAAATACATTTAAGATAATACCCATAGCAGTGTTTGTTCTTAAAATGACATCACAAGTATTACCACTTGAGTATTAATAAATTCAGTAATAGTCATACTCAAATCTTTCGAAAAAGAGCAATTTTTATGTTACTATTCTTACCATGAATTATAATAAAAATTAGTTGGATAATTAATTTGGAATAGATCAAATAATCTAACCGATAATATAACGATAATTAAAATCGATTATTAAATTTAACTTTCTAGAGATTATTTATTTGTAATAATTACTTACCTTGTATATGATGTATGTATGTAACGCGTGGCAACCGATATGACAGGAGCGATCGACGAAAGGATTTACTTTGAGGACGTGATCGAAAGTAATGTAAGAATTCTTACTGCTTGCTCGTCGAAGAGATGGAACACGAGCGACGGAGTGGGATAACTTAACTCTTGGACCGGTTCTCCTTTATATCGTACTATACCCCACTCTTGATTTTACTTGCGAACTCTCAGTATATGTAACCATTATGACGCCATACAATTAAAAAATATTTGATTTAATATTTATAATTTTTTCGATGTTCTGATTTATTCAATTGTCGACCGTTGTATTCCTTTTGAAGAGTTCTATAATAATACTATATATAAAAAGGAAAAAAAAAGAAAACAAAAAATTGTATGCAAAGTTATTCGAAATAATTAAATATTACTATTATGTTATACGCTTTAGAGTACTCTATCACTGATATAATAATTTATCACGTAGAAAAACAGTTTACCGATAAAAGAAGTAAAGATCGATATTCTCAATGTTATATCTTTTTTTCGTTACATACTACTACGTAAATTACAACAAAAAATGCGTATACGCTCGTCCAGATATTATTAAATTTTTAATAAGTATGAATAAAGCGTTAGAGACGTCTTTTTCAAAATTAACTCTCTTGGAAATATTTCTTTTTGCAATTGTACGATTGTACAAACAGTATCTTCTGTTCGAATGTACGTATCTTCTAATTTTGCCTACCACTTTTCTTACCATTCTTCTAATCATATTATCATATCATATATTAATTATATTATCATGGAATTATTTAAATTATTTCAAATGAATATTGGGAAACTACGAATCTCTCGTGCTTTTAATTAATACGTTTTTCTCATAATTCTATTACATCATTACAAGTAAACAAACAAGGAAAATCTATTAATGAAATTTTCGCTATTATGTTTTAAATCAAAATGTTGCATCTAGAATATTCTTACAGGAGAAAAGTTTAACATGTAATTTGATCGAATATGTTGAAACATGATATTTTAATATTTGTTATTAATTATTCCTAATAATTAATAACCTAATAAATAAATAAAATTATTAATAATTATTTATAGTATCAGCTTGCAAGACTAGATATTATTTACGTAGTTTGAAACTTACTCTTTTTAAAAAAGTTCATTTTATTCTCTCGTTTCACTTGTTTCCCATTAAACATAAGATTTCCAAGAAAGTTTTTTTACTTTCAAATAAGTCAAGTAATGTATTTTTTTCTTTGTAATTAATTACATTTAAATGTTTGATTCATACGATGGGATAAGAAAGAGAAGAGAGAGAGAGAGAGAGAGAGAGAGAGAGAGAGAGAAAGAGAGAGAGAAAGAGAGAGAGAAAGAGAGAGAGAAAGAGAGAGAGAGAGAAAATAATTCGCACAATTCGTTTTACTTTCTTTCAATAAAATCATTCGCGACCGGGGATCTAGGAAAAGGGTTGCGTTAACTAAATATGATGAAAGTTATTCACTTGTGTAGAGAAGCGTACAATCGTAATAAGCGATTATGAAATCGTATGAAATTGCTTTTAAAGTATAATAAAAAGAAAAAAAAAGTATTGTGTTATCGATGTTTATTTGGTTTCATACATGGAACTTTTGGACGAATTATTGTAACGCTTCGAAGCTTCTCTTTAACATTCGATTGCAATCAGTTACAACGATGACGAAGACATATTATGAAAGCAATTAATTTATTTGCTTAATTTCCACACATATAAATGATCGTTCAAAATCATTCATAGTTTCTACAGATTGATAACAATTTTCTTTTTCTTTTTTTAGATTTCTTCTTGTTTCCTTTTCGATCGAAAAAAGAAAGTATATGTCGAAATCTATTCGGCAAGATCAGAAACTTTAGAAATGAGGAAAGGATCAGTTTTATGATACATTAAGAGTCATCAAAACGATCAAGGACGTCAATGTACCAAGAAACATGTTTATTTTGTTCAATATGATATTCGATCCACTTGACACAATGATTCTTTCTACCAAAGTTTCGTTTAAAAATCTGTTTTTATCCTAAAAAATAAAAGAAAAAGTAATACAGATGATATATCTGTAGAAAAAAAAAATTGTTTAATCATTCCTATCGCAATCAATAATATCAGATTATTGTCCTACCAATTTTGTTTCAGAGGTTTTGTTGACATTTTCTAAGATTTGTGAATCATTCGTATCTCGAACATTTCTAATTGATATATCATAAAAATGTTTATCTGGATTACTACAATCTTGATCCTGACAGGAATAAGTTATAACGCTTTTGATAATATCTGGTAGATCTTCGATCATACGTATACGGTAAAGAATCGAAGCTTTTGGTCCATCAGCAAAGAAGGACACACGCTTGATATCCTCCGAACATAATTCTGTCACGATTACGAGCGTATCGGATGGAGAAATCTTTGATTAAATGGAGAAAAAAAGGATGTTAGTTTTTTCTTTTTTTTTCCGTTCTCTTTAGGCAAACATTTATTTTTAAATATTGACAAGGAAAAGAAAGAAGTTAACCTCGTGACGTAAGAGATCTATCACAGAAGCAAGCTCATTTTCCGGGATTACGAGTACCAGCATGTAGCCTTTGTCATCTGAAATTATTTTCAGATTTTTTATTGTGCCATCGACCAAGTCAATGTAGCTTGTTCGTAAATGCGAAGATTCTTGAAAAATAAGCTCGTCATCCGTTCCATTGGTCGATGATCCGTTCAGGCAATCAATCATCGCTCGAAAAAAGGCAATTCTAATCTTGCTAAAAAAATCGAACACATCCCAGATATCACCATAACTCGAAATATCTTCTTTTTGATAATTCCTTTGTAAATCCGAATTATTTTCTTTTTCATATGAATCCATAGAGTCATGGAACGTATCATTCTGTTCCAAATCACGCTTATGAATTCTTTCTTTCGTGCTGTTTTTATTTGATTCACTTTCTTTTATTATCTCGATGTTTCCTTCGACATCGGATACGAAAGGAATAGAGAAATTTATAGCTGATAGAACACCTAAATTATGATTGTGATGACACATTTAACGATAATAAATATGTCCGAGTATATATATATATATATATAAATGTGTATATATGTATATATATATATGTATATATGTATATATATAAAACTTACTTGTCGTCATTTCTTTAACTCGATGAGCCCAAGTTAATAATTCAGATATTCGCGAACGTAATGTTTTCTTACATTCACATTCGTCCTCCTTTTTACCAGGGAAAAGAAATTCATTTAATTCTATTTTCATCGGTCCGTTATCTTCTTGATGGTCAACCTAATAAAATTTAAAAAAAGATTATTACTCGTACAATGTTACCTCGTTGACATTTTTATACCTGAAAGTATCCATGAACTGGAAATGAGTAAGTTCTCTCAAAATTATTCCAAACCTCTTCTCTTCTTTGCTTAGCCGTGTCAACGAGTATCAAGATAACGTTTCTTAAATGAGAAGAAGCAATGTTTGAGTTATGTTTCATAAAACTAGCGTTGTGTTTAGTCGTCAAGAGTTCTTCCGAGTTTTTTAAAGTTGTCTCGAATCTTTTTCTACGTGGAATTTCCTTTGCGTGTTTCATAGTCATTTTTTCGTCAGACTTTGTCTCCAGTTTAACAACATGCATTTTATCGTTCAATATTCTTCCGTAAGAAACATTTTTAATGGAATTTAATGATTCTGGTATTGTCAACAAGGATGGAATACCTATTGAAAGATTTATTTATATTAAATCTTTTTTTTTTATCGAAAATCAAATTTACCTGAACGGCCAATCAAAAAGCAACTGGATTGAGAGAAGATCGTAAAAATTCTAATTAAAGAAATTAACAATAAACTGACTCTAAACATTTTAGTTTACGAACGATCACGTTTCTTGAAGTTTCATATAATTCGTAGCCTTTTTTTCGAAGGACAACTGAAAAAACAACGCTAAAATAAATCAATTCTAACAGCAATGAACAAATGAATTCGATATAACATTATTTTGTTTCGTTTCTTTTTTTTTTCGTAAAGAACGATATTGCATTTTCGATGGGTCGTTCGATTGAAAATCGATTTTTATTGGATATTGAGTACATTCAATTAACGAGATTATTCTTTGTATTAAATTACATTCAACGGGATTAGGTGTGTTCTAACGAAGTATTGGAGGACCGGAAAGTAATATCGTTTTTTTAAATTAAATTCAAATGAATAAATTTTTATTGTAACAAGTTTTTATTTTTAATCACAATCAAATATCGACATGCGCAGAAACGACATTACTTTCCGGTCCACCTAATAAATACAATTAACGATTTGTCATTGAACAGCTGGTTGGCTGCCTAGCTTCGTACTAGTACATTAACCTAAATAATAAAGGATTTCTAACTGTGGTCACTCCAATGGTTTATTTTGTGATTCTCTTTTAGTCGATACGGTGACATATTTCAATACTACACAGGTCACTCGAAGTATCGCCTTTAGTTCTATTTGTGTATTATTTTTATGTAAGCTTTCGTATGAATATATTTTATAATAAATTGTAAATATAATGTGCACAATGTTAACAGCCAATTCGTAGCTCATTCATATTATCTCTCTCTTTGAATAGAATAATCATTTTTGATTATATTTTTATGACATTATAATTGAACCATAATTGAAGTTAAAATCTTTGAAGAAAATACAATAGCATAGCATGGACGGTACAAGCAATGAATAATATTAAATCGTTAAAGTTGTAACTGCCATGAGATCTTTGCAATATACATGAGCATCAATTACATTACATGCGTCATAAGGTAAGAGAAGTCAGTCGGCCAACTTACTACGATTAATAGTTCGAAATTCAATTTAAGTTGAAATTTTATTGTCTTTCCTAAGCTTAAGAACATTATACAACTAATTGATATCTCATTAAATCTTAAATATATTTTTCATAATGCAACGAATGTTCTTGAAAGAATAAACAAATTAAGTTCAAGTACTAAGAAGCAGCATTCCAAAGATGATCTTCTTCAGCTTTTAAAAACATTTTTTTTTCATAACTATTAAAACTTGAAAGAAATAAATAAGGAAATATAGTAAGTTTTAAAAAGAAAGATCAAAAAGAAAGGACGTTTCTTCTCGGTTACATTTGTTACGATGAAAAGTCTACTCTCGACTTGAGTCGTATGGAATTTGAATTATTAAATCGTCTATAGAAGCTGCTACGACGATACAAGAAACAACATGGCGTCAAGGGACGCTCCGCAGGGGTCGCTAGAACGTCTACGCCTGGTTACCGGCACGCGATTGGTCCACGTTTGGCGCTTTAAAGATTGGAAGGGGTTTTCTTGGCTGATAGATAGTCGTCGTGGGGGGATTGATAGAAGTTAGAGGGAGAAGTAATGGAAAGAAAGAATAGAAAGAAGAGGGTGCCAGGTAAATCGCTTGTAGGTGATACGAGACTGACAACGTTGAAGACGACGCAACCCTCTTTGTGAGAGTGTATGTGAGAAGAACGGATATAATCAAATTGTTATCCTAACAGTCTAACTTATTCCTTTTTTGAGTGATCAAAAGATATCATTGATCAACGATACTCCCTAATATCCCGGTGATCTTGTGCTTTACAACTGGTGTTTGTTTAAAGTTTTTTGTGCTGACTGGATATAAAAGCAACCGTCAAGGTAAGCCACAATACTTCTTCAATTGCAACATGATCGATATAATGTTTCAAAGAAAACAACGTATCGTTTACGTTGGATTTTGAAATATTCCAACTTTGATTGTTGTAGATGAAATTAAAACAGCAAGGTTTAGTAGCGGATTTGATGCCGAATATTCGTATTATGCAATTCGGTGGACACTTTATGTTCAATTATATTGAAAGTTCTACCAAGATCATGCATAGAATATATTGCTGCGTGAGTATACTTTTTCTGGGAGGGTTTATCAGATTTAATCCTGATATATGACGATGGTCAATGCAATCGTTTATCTTACGTTTTCTCAGGTTCATTTATTTCTGATTCTTCTTCAATTCTGTTTCGCTGGAATAAATCTCGCCCTTGAGAGTGGCGACGTTGACGATCTTACAGCTAATACAATTACGTTGCTATTCTTTACACATCCTGTGGTCAAAATAATATACTTCGCGGTCAGGAGCAAGTTATTTTATAGAGTATTGGCTATTTGGAACAATCCAAATAGTCATCCACTCTTCGCCGAAAGCAATGCTAGGTATCATGCGATAGCGTTGAAAAAAATGAGAACTTTGCTCTTCGCTGTTGGAGCAACAACGATCTTATCAGTTATTGCTTGGACTGGTATCACGTTCATCGGTGATTCTGTGAAAAAAGTCACTGACCCTGAAACAAACGAGACCTCTTTAGTGGAGGTAACATGTCCTAACGTTTTACATTGATAAAAACAATCGTCAACTTATTCTTCACATTTTCTCAATCTCTTTTGCTTTGATATACGATCACAGATTCCTAGATTGATGGTTCGTTCTTGGTATCCTTACGATCCTAGCCATGGCATGTCACACGTCATGACTCTAATTTATCAATTCTATTGGTTATTCTTCACTATGGTGGACTCGAATTCTCTCGACGTTCTTTTCTGTTCATGGCTTCTGTTCGCCTGTGAGCAACTTCAACATCTCAAGCAAATCATGAAACCTCTGATGGAACTTAGTGCAACTCTCGACACGGTTGTACCAAATAGTAGCGAATTGTTCAAGGTAAAAACAATGCCGATCTGTTCGTAATATATAAATAGACCTTTCGATGGATTTATACAACTTCGAAATTCAAGGCTGGAAGTGCCGAGCATTTAAGAGACACACAAGGTACTCAGCCAGCCCCGCAACCTCCACCTCCAGGGGGCGAAAGTATGCTGGATCTTGACCTCCGTGGTATATACAGCAATCGACAAGACTTTACGACGACCTTCCGACCAACTGCAGGAATGACATTCAATGGTGGTGTAGGACCGAATGGCTTGACCAAGAAACAAGAAATGCTCGTTAGAAGTGCTATCAAGTATTGGGTGGAAAGACACAAACACGTCGTTAGGTGAGTTCAACCTAATACTTAAATTATTCTCGACCATCATTCTTAATTTCAAGGAACAAACGATGTTCATTTGTAAGATCATTGCGTATCAAAGTAATTGATCGTATTTTAATGTTGTTAAGAATCTTGATGGATGGAAGAGCTTCGTTAACGACATAGCTCACATGTAATTTCTAGTCTGCAATGCAGAGGAAGTGTGATAGTAGATTCCTGTTACAACGTTAGGGACTTGATACCAGTTATAAAGGACATATTGGGCTACATAATAACGTGGTTTTATTGTAATCACGTAGAATAAACATTTGTAGTGTTTCCTTTTGATCCGGAGTAAGGAAAATATTCGAATTTTAATCTTTTATTTAAGGAATGAATTATTTTCGATGTTATAGTGAAAGAAAAAACGAAAAAGTAGATAAAGAAAGGACTTGAGATTGTTGAGTGTTTTTGTTGATGATATGTCGAAGTAAGAGGTGATCCTCTCATACTCCACAGGTCTCTCGTGGTCGGGACACTCGTAGTGTGTTCGATGGATGCGCCTTTTCCCACGACGATAAAGTATTTATTCTAAGACAGCGCGTTATTGACCGCAACGGGGGACGTGCCCTACGGACTGAACAATTCGTTGGACAATTCATGGGGTGTATGTCTGTGTGTGAGCCTACGAGTGTATACGCGTTTCTGTGTACACATGTATGCACACATATATTCACGCGAAGGTTTCATCGATGTTAGAATCGCTTTTGAAACATCGACAACTTTTGATGACCGAGTACAAACGTTCTTTGTTTTTGGACATGTTACTAAAATTCGAGAACTCGATTAAACACCTATTAATTATTTCAAGAATTCAATTGCTTTCTTTTTCAATTCTTCGAGAATTTAACTTGATAATATTTGTTTTTTCATAAATAGTAAAGTTGAGTAAAGGAATATTAATCAATTAAATATTAATCAAAGGAATATTAATATTAATTAAGCATTGATAACGTAAAGTTAATAAAATAGCATGACTTCCTTTGAAATATTTAGCTTTAGTAAGAAAGCTAGTTTCTTCAAGCACATAATATAAATATTATTAAAGGGCTCGGACAATGCAAAGAAAAAAGAAAAAAGATGGAAGGATCGAATAAGGCGTTTCTCGTTCTTTAGACTTAGTTGCACGATTAAGTGTATATCGTATGCTCGGATAACTGGGTCAGATTAAAACTTACTTGGGGTATCATCAGTTATACGAAGACTATACGAGTGAAAAAGTCTGTTGCTAAGAAAATGGAACGACGTTCTTTCGATTTCTTCTCATTCATCTTTAACTCCATTGAACGTACATACATACATATATACAAGAACTTGTTTGTATGTATGTTTATCAGTCTCCCCATCCCACCCATCTTCCTCGACACATTCTATTTACCTCTTTTTGCTTGGCTTGCTATAATTCATTTAAATGAAGTTACGGTGTTATAAGTACAGTATACAATGTATATCATTTTAACAGATTGGTAACAGCGATTGGAGATGCTTACGGTATAGCTCTACTACTTCACATGTTGACAACGACCATCACATTGACACTTCTCGCGTATCAGGCTACAAAGGTAAGCGTCGACGTTTCAATAGCTCATCGAGAGACGAACGATCAATAATTAACCTTATTGCTGCACCTATTGACTTCTTTTCTAATATCATTCTCACGGTAACGTAGAGAAAAGGGTTTTTGTAAAATTCTTCCTTTCAGGTAAACTCTGTTAGTGTCTATTCGGCTACGGTCATCGGTTATTTCTTATATACTCTTGGCCAGGTCTT